GTTTAAGTCCATGAAATCGATGCAAACTCTCCACTTTCCGTTCTTTTTCTTTACCACCATGACATTTGCTAGCCATTTGGGGTAGTGGACTTCTCTGATCATACCGTTACTCAACAGCTTTTCAACCTCCTCATTAACGATCCGGTTGCGCTCTGGTGCGAATTTCCTTCTCCTCTGCTTCACTGGCTGGTGATCTGGATCTACTTTGAGATGGTGGAGCATGGCCTCTAGACTTATTCCCGTCAAGTCGACGTGGGACTAGGCGAAACAGTCTTCATTCTGTCTGAGGAATTTTATCAGCTTTTCTCTTGTTTCGGGCCTTAGGCGGGAACCTATCTATGTCTTTCTCTTAGGATCATCCGGGTGTATCTGTATTTCATCCAACTCTTCCATTGATGGTTGATCTAGTTCAGTAGGAAGGGTTGGATAAGACTGTAGTTGCTATGAAGCGTTACCCTTGCCCTTGAAGGCGCTCTTGTAATAATCTCTAGAAGCTTTTGGGTCGCCCTTGATTTCTCGTACTCCCCATTTGATAGGAAACCTGATTGTTTGGTGGAAAGTGGATGGGACTGCTCGCATGTCGTGGATCCAGGGTCGACCCAAGATGACATTGTAGGGTGAAGGGGCGTCTATCACCAGGAAGACTATCTATCTGTTTACTCCACTAGCATAGGTAGGAAGGACGATCTCTCTGATGGTGTACTTCTGCTCAAAGCTAAAACCAACTAGTAGGGTCGGCCTTCTGTTGATGTTTTCTTCTTCCAAACCCATAGCTTTTACTGTTGCAAGGAACAAAATGTTCGCTGATGACCCTCCGTCTATGAACACCCTTTTCACAAGAATATTGGCGATCTGGAGAGAGACGACTAGAGCATCATGATGAGGGGTGGCCTGGGTGATCGGCTCGTCGTCTTCGAACTGAATTACCTTATGGGAGTGTGACCGAGAAACTGGGCGGATTGACTGTATCTCATGGTGGCTGCTAGCCTTGGCGTATCATTTGGCTGATGAATAATTGACCCCGCTGATTTCTAACCCCCCGAGATGAGTGAGCAGAAGCCATTTGGTATGGGCTCTCGCGGGGGTGGAGAAGTTTCTTTACTGCTTTTTTGGCTAATGGTGTGCTTTCCTTTATCGGTCAGCAGATCTCGGAGATGTTCCCTCTTCAATAGCGCGACAACCTCCAAACGTAGGGCAACGCAATCCGGGGTGTTATGTCCATGGTCGCCGTGAAACTCACACCACTTGGTTGTGTCTCTCCTTGCTTCGGCGTTGAGCTTGCCTGGCCACCTAACACTGGATCCCATTTCTTTCATGATCGCCACCACTTGGGCTGTTTCGACATTCAGGTTGTAGTCTGGTATCTTGTATCGGCTTGGTCCAATCTGTCTGTTATCTGTTTTGGGTGGCTGACGGTCATATTGTGGCTAGCGGTCATAGGGTTTCCTGACTTTGTTCAAATGACGCATTGAAGGTTGGTAGCGGGTTTCGGTCGGTCTGGCATCTGGCCTCCTATTAGTCCGCCTCGGGTCGTACCTAGCGTGGATTACTCGATTGATCTCATCTTCTTCCCACCTTATTTGTATCACCGCTCTGGCCACGGCGTCTTCCATCATTGTGCAACCAAGCTTCGTCAATTCTTTGTACAATTCCCCATCCAAAAGGAGGCCTTTCCTGAATGCGTCTATAGCTGTCTCGGGGTTGCAAGCAGGAATGGAAATTTTCTCCTTGCTGAATCTGCTGACATACTCTCTCATTGGTTCTCCCCTTTTCTGGTATATTCTGTATAGATCGGCCGACAATTTCTCCAGCTTTTTACTGCTAGCGAACTGTTCCACGAAGGTGTCAGTGAGTTGTGCAAATGAGTCAATGGAACGGTTTGGGAGATTTGTGTACCACTGAAGTGTTGGGTCGGCTAAGCTTGAACCAAAACTCTTACACATGTAGGCTTCCCTTAGCGTGCGGGGTATGGGGATAGTGAACATCCATTGTTTATACAAGGCTATGTGATCGTCCGGGTCAGTTGTGCCGTAGTAGGGCTTTATGCTGGGAATAGTAAATTTGTGGGGCATGTTGGCTAGGGCGATTGCATCCGTAAAGGGCAAGTCAGCATAACAGTGAGGCCTACTCTTCTTGGTGGGGATCGACATTCCTGGTATTCGACTCATTACTGCCTCCACATCAGCCAATCTCTTAGCCAGTATCTGTTCCATAAGAGAGGGGGATACCACTAGGTCATCCCGTTTGATCGGTTCTGCCATTGCATTCGCGCTCGGTATATTTTGTTGAGTCATTCCCCCTGGTGAAGCTTGGTGGATCACCCCTTCATGTAAATCCTGGTAACCCAGATCACCATTCATTCCCTCCGGTGGGATAACTCCCATTGTAACTGATCGGGTGTTTTGTCCTACGTGGATGGTCAGGTGGGTTGTTTGGTATTCGTTCGGCCTGCTAGGATGGATGGATTCTAGTGGTATACTTGGGTTTGGACGGCCGTTCAACCTGCGAGGGTGAGCCGAGCTGAATGGTGTTTGTATAGGGATGGACTGAAGGTTAAGTGGAATGGCAAGGATGGGCGGGTCTTGCTGGAACGAGTTTTCTGCCGCTTGGGCATCTTGGTCTCAAGGTTGTGATGGATTGGTTGAGCGGGGTTCTGTCGGCAGATCTCTTCCTCCCTGAGTCAGGACCGAGTTGTCTCCCACTGATGAATTCAGTTGACGTGACCTTTTATCTGAAGCTCAGGGCACGTGCTCTAGGGTTTAGAGAGGTTGCATAGATGGAACCGAGACGCAGAACCGATTTGGTGGTACCTGAGAAGGTAGAAGGTCGAGGTCATAAAACTGGCTTACCTTTTCTTTTAGAGACTGGTTCTTAACCCTAATGGAGGCGTTTTCGGTTCGGATGGCAGTGTTCTCAGCTTCCAGTGCGGCTACCTTCTCTGAGTTTTGTTGCATGAGGGCGGTCAAAGCCTCCAGTTTGGCCTCGAGGCCGGGGTTTGCATTGTCAGAATTGTCAACCATGGAAAGTTCCCCTACGCAGCAAGGTTCGTTGAGCCGGATGATTGCCAGAGACCCCATGGTGGGTGCCAAACTGTAGACGTAAAAATCTACTGGTACATAAGGAGGGATTGATCCTGTGAGATTGAGGCCACTAGCAATCTGTTGTACCTACACACGTAAAGAAACACGCGTGAAGCGACGGAAAACACCAGGGGGTGTTTGCCGTAGGCACTCCAACGCTCAAGTCAGCAAGGCTGAAAGAGGCTAATATGGTGAGGGCTAGGGAGTAGAGGGGTTATCAGAAGTCTAGTCGGAGACTGTGACTACAGTAGTGATATGAAGCTCTCAAGTAAGAACTTCGGGTGTGAAGGTGTAATGTCATGCCCTTTGTGAGAGGGCTGGCCTCTGTTTATATAGTGACTGTCTGGTCTCCCGATCCTGGTAGGAGTAGGAGTCCGAGTGTAACTCTGATGCAAACCCTAGAGAAGTTAGGGTGGTGGTGAGCTGTCTTACCTGCGTCCGAATAGGAAGGTGATCTGAACAGGGAAGTCACTTCCAGTAGGAAAGTGACCAAGAACAGGAGAGTGACTTCAAATAGGAGATTGCACAGGAACAGGAAAATGATCAGTGGGGGCCCTAGGCTCTGAACTTGCCTATAGGCCCATGAAGTGAGCTAGAACTGGGAGGCCCGTGCCCGGATGCTTTGGGCCAGCCTTATCTCGTATCAAATAGGATTAATCTGGCTTGGGCCCCTCTAGGACTGGGCCTGGCCTTTTCTTCGCTGGTAGTCCTGTTTTCGTATTTGTTCCGAGGATGATTTTTGGCCCTAACAGTGTCCTAATGAGCTCGCAAGCTTAAACCAAATAGAAAAGAGAAACAAAAACAAACGCCTAACAAAAGCGCACGAGATTAGAACAAATAAGACCAATTAATTGTATCCTTCACTTTGCCTAAATTGACATGAAGATTTTTTTAATAACAATTTTTTGTTAAATAGTATAGCTTCTCATATAGTATAGTCTAAGTCCCTGGCATTTAGTATTAATTTATAATAACCTTATTTTATTTATTAGCATATTATATTAACACAGGGGTAGTAGTTCAAATAAAATTATATAGATTTTCTATTTTTGGATGTATTTTTAATTTACATGTAATTGCATGTATCAACATTTTGTATTTCTTTTATATTTATATGTACTTTCTTAATTTAATTAATAAAATCTCCTCATTAAGTCAGAATTCATAAATAAATAGCTAAATAACTTCCATTAATGGAATGTTTTAAATATATAAATTCCAAGTAGAATTTTAATTTATTTTAAATAAATTATGTTATGTTGGCAAATTTAGTTCCAAATTCACCTGCATCTAGTTTTGTAAAAACACTAACTATAAAGTTCCCCCAAAAAATAGGCATACACCAGAAAAACGACAATAAAAGAAATCGGTTAGAAACGAAGGGTGAAACGTGAAAGAAAGAGCGGCCGCGCCACCTTCCCGCCCTGGAATCTCTCGTTAAACTTCTGTAAATAACCATCTACCTGATTCGGTTGGGGTGGTGTGGTTTCACCCAATAAAACTGGTGTGGTTTCACCCAATAAAACTAAGTAAACAACCCTTTTAGGGTTTGGATTATATATACCCTATATATAATTTTACCCCATTTAACTATTATTCACACCTCCACCCGCGCGCTCAAGCTCCAAAAAGCTCAATTGTTCGGCAAGCCGCACCAACTACCGGCAAGTGTTGTTGTTGCGGCAGCCGGCTTTGGAAACAAAAAAAAAACCATTCGTAAAAGTTTCAATTTCATTGTGTATATTATTATTACATTGCTTTTTTGTGTTGTTAATAGAGATGGATAACGTTAATCAGAAGGATCATCATCGTGCAAGTTTGACGTCGTCGTCGTCTTTTTCGTCGTGGTCTTCGTCTTCATCTCCGTTAGAATCGCCGAAGTTAGGGCAGGAGTAGACGGAGGTGGATGAGTTGCAGCGGATGCCATTGGCTCCGACGTTGTGCAAGAACAAGAAGAGGTTGTCGAAGCAGCTGTCCATGTGTGAAACCCCGCGTGACATTGCATGGGAGAAGCGGCGGCGCCAGATTCTGAGGCAAGAGCGGAGAAAAACGAATGACAGTAATGATTCGGACCAGTCCTTGACTGATGAAGACTTGCATGAGTTGAAAGGATGCATTGAGCTTGGTTTTGGATTCAACGAAGAAGAGGGTCAGCAATTAACCAACACATTGCCGGCTTTGGACCTTTATTTCGCAGTCAACCGTCAGCTTTCTATCAGCCCCGTCTCAACCCCGCAAAGCGGCCGACATTCCACCTCCTCACTCGGTGGTCGTTCTTCCTCATTCGGTAGCCCAAGGAGCGATTCAGATTCTTGGAAAATTTGTAGCCCAGGTAAAACTTAATATCTCTATTAACTCATCTGGTTTGAAATTAAATTGTGAATCTCAAGCCAACAATTAACTTCTGAACATCAATATGTGTGTATGTTGAAGCCAATAATGTTACTGTTAATGACATTAAAAATGTCGCAACTTTGAAATTGGTATATGTTAATGGTTAAGTTTTGGATTGTTGCAGGGGACAATCCTCAGCAGGTGAAGACGAAGTTGAGACATTGGGCACAAGCTGTGGCATGTTCTCTGATGCAATCTTCCCAAAGTGACATTCCATGAATTAAATTGTACAAAGGATAAAGAATAAGAACTAGGAAAGAAGAAAACACTGAAGGAGGAGCCTGCAGGGTCTCTTTGATCGATTATGATGGAGGCCAATGATAAAGGTCCTGGCTGGGTTTAAACTAAATTAAATTAATTTACCTTTTGGTTTAAAGTCTCTTTTTTTTGACACCTCAAAACATGTAATATTTTAAGATCGGAGCTAGTGTTGATAACTTATACTCTTTTGAGGTGGGAAGCAATATGCAATTTGGTTGTAGCCATTTTGACCTCTTTCCGTATTAATCAGGATTGAGGTAAATGTAATGTTGATTAATCTTCAAACATTACTCTTAAGTTTAGTGTTCATAAAAAATTTAATTATACAATGAAGTTGATTTTTTTCTGACCCTCAATTCAATACCACTTTCACTCAATAAGTGTTCGTAAATATTTGTGATATTACGTTAACAATACTTCCATGATACCATATATATATTTCATTCTATTGAAGTCTTATTGGTTAGTAAAATGGGAAAAAATCTTACGTAAAAATCCCAAGGGGTTGGCCTGACGGTCAAAAATGTTTGCTCCCTTTATTGACTTTTTGGGTCTGAACCACTTTAAGGTCATCTACCATATTTGTGGCTTACCTTAAAACATTAGATTTGTAGGGTGTTTAATGAGTTCCGAAGATTAATTAAGGTATGCACAAATTGATACGGACACCCTGATTAGTTAAAAAAAAACGTATGTAAAGTTGAATGAATTGAAGGTGAATTTTGATAAAATATTGTAAAAGAAAGAGGGGGATAATTGCTCAAAGAATTGAGAAAAGATTAGTTGAGTACATTATTTTTTTAATAAATTAAGTTTATTTATTATTTGAATTATGATTATTAAATACAAGTATACAACATTAGTATACTTTTTTTTTCCTTTGTATGTTGAATTTATAAAAAAAAAAAAAATTAAAAGGCATTTGACATTTAAAAAAGGAAAAAGAATAAAAAAGCGCCAGTTTAGTTAATCTCTTTTCAGTGTAATTCTTCAGTCCACCCCTTAAAATTTGGTCATTAGGCCCCCACCTCAGATCACAAGGTAGGCAACTTATAGGGAGGTAAATGATAAATTTTAAACTAAAGTGCGAATTCTGTGAATGAGAAAACAAATTATGGAGGCACTCATCGAACTACGAATCCGAGTCATCAGTTTTCTTGTGACTGTATTCAATGAGTCAACTCGATTAAACCCCAGCTTTCTCAAATAAACCCCAGAATCTTCTACACTTGGGTTCCGCATAACTTACCAGCTTCAGTTTTTCTCTTCTCTCACAAAACCCACTACAACACAATGGCTCCTGATGCTTCTCATGCTCTTAAAGGTCCCACTTCTTTCTTCTAATGTTTAGAATTTTATGTCTTTATATTTCGATTTTTTTTTTTTTTTTTTGGTTTCTTGTTGTTTGAGTGCTTTAACGATCTGGGTCATGTTTAGATGCCTGTGAAGCATTATTTTATGGTGATTTTGTAAAGTTGCATAAAGTAGTTCTTTATCAAAGCTTCTATACGTTTGTATGTGTATATTTGTGTACTGCGTGTGCAGCAGCTTGTAAATACGAGGAATTTTTATCATTAGTTGACACTGGTGTTTATCTTTTGAATGTAGTGAGGCAAAGCGTTCAACTGTTTTTAAATGCTGCTCAAACTGGGAATCTTGCTCTTCTGAAGAGTAAGTTAGATATATTCACTTGGTGAATTGGGCACTGGTGTATATAAATTTGTTCTATGGCTGCAGTCAGATTTTTTACTGAAAAGGTCGTGGGTTTGTATTTTGTCTTAATAGGGATAGCAGAGCAACTCGATGATCAGGGGAAAGGGATGGCAACAACCGTGGCTGATATAAAAGATGCCAACCAACGAGGGGCGCTACATTTTGCAGCTAGAGAGGGTAAGACTGATGTGTGCAAGTATTTGTTGGAGGAATTGAAGCTTGATGTTAATACACAAGATGAAGATGGTACGTATTAATGTTTTTGTTGTCTATAGTTGTGATTATCTTCATGTTGTTTCTTCTTTGTGCATGAAGTTCCCTTTCAAATTTTCTTTTACAATTGGAAAATTTAGTGCATTTAGGTTTGCAGGATTGAATGTCAATTATGAATGTTGAGAATAAGTAAGGCATAGAGTCCCTCTGATCAAAGTCTTTCAATTATGATTCAAAACACTTTCATATGCAGGTGAGACTCCTATTCTTCATGCTGCCCGTCAAGGACATACTGAAACTGTCAAATATCTGTTTGAGCATGGTGCCAATCCTGCCATACCTAGTAACTTAGGGGCTACTGCTTTGCATCATTCTGCTGGAATAGGTGAGCTTTTCTTTTTGCTGAGATTGCGTTGGTGGGTGCTAGTGAAATCATAAAAGTAAACAATAAAAAATTTTCGTGGCTTTTTTTTTATACTGGTAACAGTTTTACATGGGAAGGATACAATACAGGTCTCTGATTTCTTAGGACGGGACAAATCTTATCCAAATCATGGAAGCAAAAATTGGTTAAATCAATATGTCACACCTTTTCTTTTTTCAAATACAATTTTTCATTTAGGAAAAAGTGCATACAAGGCTGGTTGTAGATCTAAGTGGTCTTCTAATTTCCTTTTATAATAAATATTTGAAATTTATTCTTCTTAGTGGATTTTTTATATAATGGAAGAAGAAGAGGAAAAAAAAGTACTTATTTTCATTGTTGGATTTTAAAACAACAAAAGTCGCTTATTAGGTCAAATCTTAATGATGGTCATGCAGGCCACCATTTATTGGTTGTGTTCTGTCTTATGTAGAATGTGTGGATCAGAGCTAAGCTCTGTAAAGGCAAAAATTTATATGTATGCATTATCTGGCAAGAAAAAAGAATTCAATGTTGTTAACTTCACAGGGTTATCCTAGAAGGTTTTCTGACTTGCTGAACTAAAAGTTATTGTTTTTGCCTTATATTAAAATCTTGTTAGATTCATTTCAGCCTTTGTATCTGATATTGTGTCTAGATATATTTCAGCTCAGTTATGTCAAATCTCATGCCTATGTTCTTCTGATCCTCCCTTAGTTATTTGACTTCAGTTCTTACAATCAGTTTCCTTCATGGTGCTTGCAGGAAATATTGAATTGCTGACGTATTTACTCTCCAAAGGTGTTGAGGTTGATTCACAAAGTGATTCTGGTACTCCTTTAGTTTGGGCAGCTGGTCATGCCCAGCAAGAGGCTGTGAAAGTTTTGTTAGAGCACCATGCCAATGTAATTTTTTATTCATTTTTTCTTTTAATGATTTTTATATCATCTCCATAATGCAGAATTTTATGTAGTGCTGTGTCTTTCAGTTTTCCAGACTGCTTGAGAAAGAGAGAGAAGCTCCCATATGAGACTTTTTCTTGTACCTCTTCTCTTCAAAGCTTCTTTTACTTGCTGGGAATTTCCTTACCCAGAGGAAATGTTCTTCTATATATCATTAAATATGCCTACACCAATAAAGGGAATTTCCTTAATGTTGGGCAAAATTTTTAAATCTTTTATCTTCTAGATGTCCAAAGAGATATATTTTCTTGCAGGAGTTCTGGTGCTTTTGAATCTCTTTTTAATTTATTTCCATAATGACTTTGTGGTATTCATGCTTGTCAGGGGCCTCCTTGGGCATACAAGGCTTTGGCCCTGCCCGGGGGTTCCTTTTATATCTGCAAAACCTTGGATTGACCAGCATAACAATTTGGCTGCAAAACTGTGACCACTTTCAATCTTAATGTGTCTCTTATGCCACTTGTAGATTGTGGGTTCTAGGTGACTTGCTTGAGCATGTTTCAGCTAGGGAAGGGTGCTGTCTTGTCTAGGTGTCATAATTTTCTCTTATGGTGTTGGACGTTGTTCTGTGTAGCATTCTTGTCCTATACATTATGTGTTATATCAGTTGTACAATTTTCTTCAGGGATTTATTCCTTTTCAATGATGACTTTCAACTTTTATTAGGTCATTTATATAATTTATTATAGCTTTCTGTGACAGTATCAAAACAAAAGCTTCTATTTATTTGATTAAAATGTGTGTTGAGTGTTGTATTATGTTGTTTCATCAATATTATTCTTTGTTGATATTATTTTGCAGCCTAATGCTGAAACTGAAGATAACATCACTCCACTGTTGTCGGCTGTAGCAGCTGGTTCACTAGCATGCTTAGAATTGTTAATTAAGGTTTGATATCTTCATTAATCCAATTTGGTTACATGTTTGTTCAATATGTGTGTTTAGGGTTGCAATATAGGCATAGCTAGAAGCTTAAATAGAAAAGCAAAAAGGACATATTTCTTTATTATTATTTTTGGGTTTCTCTTGAAGGTCTAGAGAGGTAACTTCATTCAAATTATTGATACTACTGGGTGTATTGATTAGTTAATTTATTTTGCATGGACGCATCTCGCTTGATATCATTGTGCAACCTTGTTCTTCTGGCTATTAACATTTTACTCAGTTTTCTTTGTTCATTTTCTAAAAAATAGTTTTGTTAAGTATCAAACTTTTAATGTAATTGTTAACTTCTACATGGTGTGCTTATTTTGGATGGTCTTTCATGTATAATAGGAAATCAATGTTTTGTGCTTGCCCTATTTACAACTTCAAAATTATTCAATTGCATGCTTGTGCAAAGCAAAGAAGTTGTCTATGATATCATTCTATTTAAAAAAAGAAGAAGAAGAAGAAAACTGGATTTAGTGAATGTGTTATATCTGAGTGTAGCTACCAGCTTTCATATGTATTTATTATGCTTATGTTCATATGCAAGATTTTATTTTTCTTTTGCTATTCACAGCTTCTTCCCCTGCATCAATTTTACATTCACTTATTTGCAGGCAGGTGCTAATGTGAATATTATTGCTGGTGGAGCAACCCCATTGCACATTGCTGCTGATATTGGGAGCACAGAAATTATAGAATGCTTATTGAAAGCTGGAGCTGATCCTAATGTCACTGATGAGGTTAAAGCCATAACTGCATTCATTTTAGTCATGATATCATCGCTTTCTTAACCCTTTTTCTCGCATGTTTGTATGTATTTACTTGCTCAAGTCCTTCAAATCTCTGTTGATATGCTTCTATTGATGTATATATTTTCGTCTCTCTTGTTGAAGGTTAAGTTCTGTTAGCTATACCAAAAATTGCAAGAATTATGATTCCTGGTTTACTACCAAAAATTATATAATCTCTTATTACGCTGCATGCCTATATTTTTATTTTTGTGGTATTATTTGTCTCATTACTGAAAAAGGGTAAAGCTGCATTTCTTGTAAGGTATACAAAGACCTGCTGATTTCCAACCTAATGAATAACTGAAAAAGGGGATGCAGTCAACCTCTAACCTTAGTCATCTTCCACAAAGGATGGGTGTTCTTTCCAAGTTGACCTTCGTATCATTTTCCTACTAGTTGGCTATAAAATCAAGGGAAATGCTACATGTACAAAGACTCTTATAAAAAGTCTTTGTAAAAAATGATGTGGCAGCTATCACACCACTAGTTTCACATGAATCTTCTTTTTCTTTTCACAAACTAATGGTGTGGAACCTGCCACATCACTTTGTACAAAGACTCTTTGTAGGAGTCTTTGTACATATAGCATTTCTCTAAAATCAAAAGTCTGTTTGTCAGGAATTTGCAATATTGAGTTTAGGCCAGGAGGAAAATAGAAGCGGATACTTTTTTTTTTTTGTTNATGCTTATTGAAAGCTGGAGCTGATCCTAATGTCACTGATGAGGTTAAAGCCATAACTGCATTCATTTTAGTCATGATATCATCGCTTTCTTAACCCTTTTTCTCGCATGTTTGTATGTATTTACTTGCTCAAGTCCTTCAAATCTCTGTTGATATGCTTCTATTGATGTATATATTTTCGTCTCTCTTGTTGAAGGTTAAGTTCTGTTAGCTATTCCAAAAATTGCAAGAATTATGATTCCTGGTTTACTACCAAAAATTATATAATCTCTTATTACGCTGCATGCCTATATTTTTATTTTTGTGGTATTATTTGTCTCATTACTGAAAAAGGGTAAAGCTGCATTACTTGTAAGGTATACAAAGACCTGCTGATTTCCAACCTAATGAATAACTGAAAAAGGGGATGCAGTCAACCTCTAACCTTAGTCATCTTCCACAAAGGATGGGTGTTCTTTCCAAGTTGACCTTCCTATCATTTTCCTACTAGTTGGCTATAAAATCAAAAGTCTGTTTGTCAGGAATTTGCAATATTGAGTTTAGGCCAGGGGGAAAATAGAATCAGATACTTTTTTTGTTTTGTTTTGTTTTGTTTTTGTTTCTGTTTCTGTTTCTGTTTTTTGTTTCTCTCTTCAAGTCCCTATATGAATTCAGAATCTCAAGTCCTTTCAACTTAATAGCAGTATAAGCCTATTTACAATATGCAATGAATGGCCTCAGTTTCACAGTAGTCATCCATTATGTCTTAATGACTTTTCTCTGCATCACAGGATGGCCAGAAGCCCATACAAGTTGCAGCTGCAAGAGGCAATCGTGGGGCTGTTGAGATCCTTTTTCCCTTGACATCAGCTGTTAACTCCATCCCAGAATGGACGGTTGATGGTATTCTTGAATATATGCAGTCTGAAACTAGCAAACAGGTAATCCTTAGTTCCTTTTTCTGTTTTTGGTAAATTTCTCTAATGTCTTGATCGCTCATTTAAACTATACATGCTGAAATTTAGCATCGGTTTAAATATTTTAGATATAGTGGTCTTGAAAATTCATTCAGCATGCCTTTATTTGGTAGTGCTTATCTTATATATCTTCCAAGTCACTCACACGAAGTATAGTGTGATACATATTCATTGCATCTCTTTAGACAGGTCATAATGCCACATGAACCTTTATATACATCTAAAGCATGGTCCCACTGAATAAGGGCCTCTTGTTCCCTTAGGATAATAGCTTTTGTTGCACTCTTTTAAGGAATGAAAGCATTTAATGATATTAGAATGAGATAATGTGATAAAGAGAGAAAGAGAGAAAGAATATGGAACAAAGATAATGTGATCACTTAGAGCTGGACAGGCATAAAGGTGTGACCATAAAACTCCCTTGGTTTATAGTCTGGACTAAGATAACTGCACTCATGTATAGGTTTGGCAAATTGCATTCTAATCTTTGACTGATGTAATTTTACTTTGGCTTTAAAACAAGACACATTACTGCCATTTTACATTATCTTTTGCAGGAAGCAGCAAGAAACGTGAAGGAAGATAGTTTACCAGAGAACGTAAAACCTAAGAAAGATCTCCCTGAGGTGCCTCTTTTACCCTTTAGTTTGACTTCTGTTGCTGGTTATGCATTGGTTTTGTGGATTGGTTGATTTTGGTATTTTTCTAATCGCCATTATACAAGAATTGTGAATTTTGTGTAATTGGTTGCATTATGTGCTCAATTGGCTCTGGAAAAACTTGTATTTTATTAAGAACTTCGATTTATTATTTTGAACTATTTCCTTCTTCAATAACATGGGAGCAATTAGACTAATAGACAGCCTTGCTTCCTAAGGATTGTTTGTTCTTATTAATGTTCTTGTTCTTGATATCACTTTAGGAGTTTATCTTGGAAATTCGTTTTTGCATAGTTGGATTGTCTTCTTTTATTCAAAAATTTCAATGAATCCCATGGAAGCATACTTTTGTGATTTGTTTAAGTTGTGAGGTAGCAAGTTTTAAGGTTTAAATATTTATCCAAAATAATCTGTGAATAGAATCAATATTTTAGAATAGGTAATTTCATTGTCCTTGTCACCCTTCTAAATTCTGGATGACAATTTCAGGTGGGACCTGAATTAAAGAAGAAAGCTGCCGAAGCAAAATCTAGAGGAGACGAGGCTTTCAAGAGAAAGGATTATCACATGGCTATAGATGCTTATACACAGGTACGTTATTCATCTCTTCTTTGCCTGGTTGGAATATCCTTTCTTAGTCTGTTGCAAATGTTCTCTTGTCCAACAGATTATGGTAGACAATAAATTATGTATAATGTTTCTAAGCTTGCAACATTTGGTAGTTTTGAACAAATGAAAGAACCATCTGTATTCCTATCTGTTGCACTGCTCTACAAGATAGTTGATCAATCTCTGTGCTGACTGTGATCTGCTGTGCACTTAGTGTGGAATAAGCACATCTTAACCATGAAAATTGGGATTTTTCTTAGGGTAATAACTTAGGCTCCGTTTGGTTCATTATTGGGTAGTTTTTAGAATAATCTTTTGAAAAAAGTTAAATTGAGTGGGTATTACGATGTAGAATTTTTAAAATTAACATAAATACCCCCTATGTTTATTTATTTATTAAACACCTCTATAATAAAATATTCAAAGTTAACAAAAACACCCCCAATCTACTCATAAATACGAACAGCCGGCCACCACCGCCGGATGGTGGCCGGAGTTACCGTATTGACGTATGACCGGCTTGATATTGCCGGTCGTGCGCCGATATGGCCTTTTCTGGCCAGATCCCTGGCTAGATCTGCCGCATTTGGTCGTCAACGACGGCCAAAGATACGACCGTCGTTGATGGTCAACGACGACCCTATCTTGGCCGTCGTTGACGACTATCAACAGCCAAAGATCTGACGGCCAGATCTTTGGCCGTACGTTGGATCTGGTCGGAAAAGGCTTAATCGGTGCACTACCGGCCAGATTCAGCCGATAGTGCGCCATTACACCAGATTCCGACAGTGGTGGCCGGAATCTGGTAAATTTGGGTTACTGGGGTGTTTTTGTCAGTTTTTAAAATTTTTTTTGGGGGTTGTTTATTTAAATTAACAAATTTAAGGGGTTTGAAGGAAATTGAAAAATTTAGAATTATATTTTGGAAATTAGGTGAAACAAACTTAACTTTTTTGGGAAAACTTTTCTAGTTTTCCCAATATGTGAACCAAACGAAGCCTTAATCTCTCAAGCTGTTATAAGATAAACATCAATTCTTTGCTATGTTTAAGTAGGATTAGAGTAAATTCAACTGAACAGAGATTAAATTTCAATTTAGGGGGTTAGAACATGTTAGTTTGTGGTGGTTTGCTTCATATTCTTTTTGTCTTGCAATGGAATGATCAAATCCCCATTTCTTACCAAAACTCATGAGGGTATTGTATCTAGACGTTCTGCATGAGGTTGGAGGTGACTAACAGGTTCCAGTTAGAGGCTTTGTCTAGAAAAATTTGGAGTTCAAGCGGTTAGAGGTCTTGTAAATATGTAATGAACTTGGCTTTTGCTGTCTAAGAAGTAGTTGGTAACTCCTTAGGGGGAAGGTGAATGAGGCTTAATGGGGAAAACAAGACGGGGCTGCACCGAAATCGAAGTAGTGGACTTGGAGGATTCAAAAATACATTTTAAATGGGGTTTCTGCTGCTTCACAAGGCTTCATGGAGACATAATTAGAGAGCTTTCTGAATTTTGATAATGTACTTGTTTGATGATATTTTACAGGCAGTGGATCTGGATCCTACTGATGCTACGTTGCCCTCCAATAGGAGTCTTTGTTGGCTTCGACTTGGACAAGCTGAGCATGCCTTAGCTGATGCAAAGACGTGCAGAGGATTAAGACCAGACTGGCCAAAAGCTTGCTATCGGGAGGGAGCTGCATTGCGTTTATTGGAGGCATGCTCTCAACCCTTCTTCAATGTTTAGCCATCTTTTTAACTAAATCAACAATTTTTTTTTAAAATATTTTTATTGCTCTTCTCCCAGAAATATGATGAAGCGGCCAATGCTTTTTATGAGGGTGTGACGCTTGCCCCTGAGAATAGGGAGCTTGTTGAGGCTTTTAGGTTTGTGAACGCACATTCCTTGTCTTTGTGTTTTTTCTTCTAATTTTCTTAAACATGCTCAGTACAATTCTATAAACTGATTATATTTTAAGCTATCAGCTTGTAGAGTTTATGAATCAAATTATCTTGAATACCTAGAAAGGGGCTGGGTAATCACTAATGTCACACCAATATTGTTCCTTGAAATGCAACTATATTGGTGGATTTGCTGCATAGGTTGCATCTCTTTCTAGTTGCCCGAGAGTTTTCTTAGCAGTCAAACTCTCTAAAGTTATGCTGCATATAGACAATAGTTATCATTAGTTATTCTGGGATGACTGGCTTCATACTAACGGAAGACTTTTTACAAAATGTTAACCATCTTTTCCTGTTCCATACTATCACTGTAATTATTTGACCTCCCGTCCTGGCAGGGAAGCTGTTGAAGCCGGGAAGAAGTTTCATGGTACGGATAAGAAGTAACAGCTTGTCCAAAGTAGAGAGACAAAGGGACCAAAATGCCTTGTATGTTAACGTTGTGCTGTTCTTCTACGACATTCTCGTTACGAGGAACTATGAGCTCACTGTTGTTTTAGATGCCATACCCTTAGAAATGAATCAATCTTAGCTGCGCTGTACATAGCAAGTTACAATTACATATTGAAGAGGATATGAACAGTTTATCGTCTTAAGTTTTGTCAGCATCTCGTGTGATTTTGATATATTTTATTTTTGCTTTTTCTTTTTCCAACTACTAAATCTTGAAATTTGGATTTGAGGTTGCATACTTTGTTGGGAAAGCTGGGTTTGCGATTGTTAATACTTAGTCCAGCTACTTCAGGGCTCAGACATTGGATTATTGGGAACTTTCTTAAAAAGATGTATTTTGATTTTGTTAAGAAATATTCTGACTGGTGAGATCTCCGAACCTTAATCTTCAACTGTTGCTGATTTTTCTCTTTTATTTGCTCAAGTCATTTGGGTTTTGGGATCCACGTTAGGATAATCAAGACAAACTCTAAGAGTATAATTTTGTATTATTGAAAATATTATATTAATAAAAAATATGTTTAAAGATTATTGGGGATCTTATTAAAAACATGTTTGGTTAGATAGAATTAAATTGATGGTATATTAAATATGTTTGGTAAGTAGAAATAAGAGATTTATTCGATGATCCTATTACTAAATTCCCTTTCTATAATAGTAATGTTATTACTAAATTGTATTTTATCATTCTAGCCACCAAAAAAGTTTAAAATTCAATAAAAACACGTCAGCCACCTTCCCATCATTGTCGGTTGTTGCCCACCACCTTCAATTGTGATCGACAGTTAGCGTGACAGTTCATGATCGATCAGATTTGTCCGGTCGTGTGTTGATTTGACTTTTTCTAACTAAATTCATGGTAGATTTGGTCAGAAAATATCAAATCGACGAATGATCGACGAGTCGTTTATTGTTTCGGTGATTGTCGACGGTCAGCAGTCCTCTTGGGTTGCTATGGTGGTTATGACAGGTTTATGTAAATTGTTTTCAAACCAAAAGGTATTATTGTCTAAAAGTTTTAATAATTAAGAGTAAAATTATAACAAAAATAATATTATTAAGTAATCTTAGAAAACTTAAGAAAATGATTATATTCAGATTACCATTTATATAACTAATCATGATTATCATTAATTATAAAAGATTATAAAAATCTTATATTACTTGATAACTAAATATGATAATATCAGTAATATAAGATTGTATTACTGAAGTAATCGTATATAACCCTTGACCAAAGAGTCCATAAATACTAGATACGAGGTCAAATTGGGCAGTTATTACATTTATTTTCTGCCAAGAATCCAACCTTCAAAATACAAAGAATATTTGTAATAATCATGTAATTATAAATGAAAAAAGTAATAAGTGTGATTAGCTGTAAGTTAAAACACAAATGTTTATCTTTATTATTAGCTTTCAAGTTCAACAGCAAACATGAAACCCATTACACAGTTGTAAAATGAACAAACCGCTGTCAGTTCTCAACTATTTTCAAAACAAAAACGCAGATTAAAACACTTTCTCGACAAAGAGATTCAACCCCACCTCCTTAATCTTCAGATCCAAGTATCCAACCATGTCTCTTAAACCCCCCAACGGTTACGGCACCACAACCGCCGCCGCTGCCACCACCTCCACCTCCACCTCCACCAACCCCACAACCGCACTTTCCTTCTTCTCCCGCACGGAGTCCATTACCTCCACGCGCCGCCCATGGAGGGAACTCTTAAATCTCTCGAGCTTCTCGCGACCCATAAGCTACAACGACGCGATGTCCCGTGTAAAGCGGAACGTCAACAACTTTCGCGTCAATTACGCAATGGTAATGCTCTTCATTCTCTTCGTTAGCTTGCTTTGGCACCCGGTGTCGATGATCGTTTTCATAATCGTGTTCATTGCGTGGTTATTCTTTTACTTCGCGCGTGACGACCCAGTTGTGGTTTTTAATCAAGTGTTGGATGATAGGCTTGTTTTGTGCTGTTTGGGTTTGATTACGATTCTTGCTTTGGTTTTTACTCACGTGGGGCTTAACGTGTTGGTGGCTTTGCTTGTTGGAGTTGTGGTGGTGGGTGTTCATGCGTGTTTTAGGAGTACAGATGATTTGTTTTTGGATGAAGAGAGTGCGGTTGAGGGTGGATTGGTTTCGGTTGTGGGAAGTCACCCTGTGAGGTTGACTGGTTATACGCGAATTTGATGGGGTTTTTTTTAGTGTTTTTGTGTTTGATTTGAAGGGGGTGCGGAGGATTTTGGTTTTCTTTTGGTTGGTTGTTTATTTGCTATATATATATATATATGGTAATCCAGAAATCCCTGAATGGGTTTAGTGATTTGATTTCAAAATTGGGTTCCTGTGGAATTATTGATTAGTTCTTAAAGGATTGGTGGCTTTGGTTGTTGTGAAGTTGGAACTTGTAGCTAAATAATTTAGTTGATGATAACGGAAATTTGGTTGGTGCTTGATTTGAAGCGGGTATGATGAATTCTTATTACTGTATTATTGGTTTAAAAGGTGGAGTTTGAGGGTTAACTTGGCTTTTGGTTTTGACCATTGTTTCTGGTTGGGATTGAGTACAATTTTTGAAGTGGTAATTGACATTGGCCTTATTGGTCTTATTTTTGGGGAAGCTTGTTTGTTTTATGTTGTTTGGATCAAATTGTGGATCATGGTGAGGTTGATTTTGGTTGTGCTGCTTCAGCATTGTTTTAAACCAGTGGGAGATGAAATCAATCTTGTTCTGTGAGGTGACAGAAATACAATTTTGAAGATAGTCTCAGTGCTTGTTGCATTTCGGCATCAAGGGAAGGTCATGTATGCTATTTTGTGAGGTCGCTAATTTGGAAAATTTATTTGCTTTAGTAATGGAGGTCTGTTCACTAATTTGTGACTTTCTGTTGTAATTTAAATATGAAAGCATTGGATGTTTATTTTCTTTTGTTTAGCATGGTCAGAATCATTTTAAATGACCAACCAATTACGAAAGTCTTCGCACATGCAGTGTTTGGCAGTTACGAAGTTGAATGTGATTAGCTGTTACAATGATTTTCATGCTATTGTCATCTGCTTACTGGGTCAGCTCAGATGAGCTTTAGTTTATCATTGACCATAATAGTAGTTTAGCATCAACTGAAAATGTTACAGCTTCTGTTGAAATGATAATTAGCCAGACCATGGTTCCTAACGAATGTGATGACTTGATGATTAGCCTAGGACCATGGCTACTAACAATGTCTAAACTCAATCCATTTTAATTGCTGCATATGTATGATTCCTCAGAGTATAATACTTTTATGAATTTCTCATGGTATAAAATTTTGGTGATGCAGAAATAGATGGGCGTGATTGAGACTTGTGATGATTATTGGATTGTTGTTTGCTCTTTTATTGATTTATTTGTTTTCAAATGTGGCGTGAGAAAGGCTTGAATCTCAGCCTCAAGTTTACTCAAAAGCGACAACTTGTTGCTAGTTATCATCACCACCTCCTTTTAATGTTACCTACTTAACCCAGAAGCATAGGTGCATACTTTTGCTATCCGAGGTACCTCAGTGAGATGTTCCTAAGAAATATTCTCAGCGCGGATTATTTTCCAACCACTGATGCTTTGCAGTTACTACCTCTTTTCTCATTTCTTATGATATTGGTAGCGTTGTAACCTCTGAAATTTGACAGTTCTTTCTGGTGGATTTTCATATAAGATATATTAAGCTTCAGTGCAACTTATTATTAGTGAATTATTACCATTTAAAAAGATATTGTGGCTCGCTGTGTTTAATGGCTATTTCTTAGAAATCATCTAGTGATGATCTGAACATGCTTATGTTATTAAGTGATGGTGTAATTGGTTAAAGGTGTAAAGCTTCTCTGGTAACTAGCTTGATATCAATACCATATTTTTTTTTTTTTTTTTTTTTTGTAATTATTAATCCTGAATATATATGCCCACAAATACCATACTTACCAAGTTAGAAGAGGCAACAAATTAGAGGGAAATAAACCAATTTCAAAGAAACCAATTTTCATGATAAAAAAAACTGGACGAGATTCATTATCAATTGAACTGTCGAAATGTCTACAAATATGATGTCCATACAAAATACTGAAGTAAGTCGGGATTTCTTGGAAAAGGAGAATCATATAAAGACCAAAGCAAAAGGCAGCCGAATTACAGGGAAATAACATTCATAGCCGACTAATCCTCCTCTAGATTGATAGAGTCCTTGAATTTCCATATAGAATCTTTTCAACCGCCATTTGGGCAACTATAGATTCCTTCTCTTCCTCAAGTTTTTCCAACTTCTTACTAGTCACTTCTTTCATCTCTTCTATCCTGGTCTACTTCTTCCTTCGGCACATGGGCAAGACTTCTCCTATTTGGAACCGGACAATATCTTCATCTGTCAGATCAATTCATTGCCTGCGTCCTCCAGGTTCTCATTTGTTCCTTTAGAAATAACACACGCAAGTCAGAAGGGAATCAAATAAGAAACCAAGAAGCATCAACAAAATGTTGCTAAATGAGGGACTGAATGATATAAAACAGTCAGAAGGAATGCAACATAGGCTATTTCCAAGTCTTGTTGACAGAGAAAAGACCTGTAAAGCTACTATGGGAAATGCAAAAGTTCTAAAATGAAAAACGGAGGCAATATACATACTTCTGCTATGCCATATCAGAAGTGATACGTACAAGCCGTATTGGGAGTCTAGAGAATGGCTAAGGTGATATTGGAAGAAAGAAAACTCAAACTACGATTTCTCCCTCAGAAAAATTTGCAAGAGGTTTCTGCTAGCGGGCTTTCTTCCCTTTCTATCCAATAGTTCTAAATATCAGAATAAACTCGTTAGACAAACAAAACATACAACTAAAAGTAACCAACAAAAACTCTATAGCACCCGACCATATACTTTAGGCATAAACCGCCAGCATTAACAGGTCTAGCTACTGGCATTAAAAATGAAACAGCATCTTTTATAACTTCAATTACATCAACTTGATATAGATATAATCTTAGGCTAAACATGACTCCACAAATGTAAATTTGCATGATTCTTTTCAAGAAAAATGTGTTGACTATCTGTAAAAATTTCTCTAACAACTGTTTTACCACATATAATCTCTGCCTTCCATATATCACTAAGACCTTCAACCTGATTTGCTGTCCTTCATATATGCTCAATTTGCAAATATCCCAGAAAAAAAAATTAATACCATGCCATGTAACATACGGTGAAATGTAAAGATATCAAGTCCAGGTTTCAAACATACCACTAGAACTTTTGATGTCTATATAAACATCCAAACCACTTAACCTCTTAAATTTCTACAACCCCATGAGAAAGCAATAAGAACGAAAATTACTTGATTTTGTTCACAAGTGAAGCCATATATAACATGGCAGTCTCATACTATTCACCACAGGATTATCTTTAGCTCATCGTAATTTTCTAGTTACACATCATCATGGAATGAGAGAAGAAAAAACTGTGTTTCTTTCTTCCTTTCTTTCAAAATCCCGGCAAACCTAAAAGGACAACTCAAATCATGGATCAGCTGAATGACTGAGCTTCTGATAATATCCAAAAATTTCAATCAAACCAGTGAACCAAGATATTTTCAATCGATACTGAGGGGCTTCCAGTATGTTTCTATGCACCAAAAATCTCATTTAAGAGTTTAAGGCAATAATCAAACTCAAATTTAATTATTACCAACTCATTAATTTTCACATTAAACAGGCCTAAGCAACTATCTCATCATCACTCAGCTTAAAAGTTGGCTTCTTCTGAACATAAGTTATCCAAACGAACTAATCGAAAATCAGCCACAATCTAAAGATAACAGGAGACTCAAAAACTTTGTTCGCATACCCAAAATACAATTTTCCAAACACAGACATAAATATACGAAGAATACCTACAAAGAAATCAAAACAAGAAGTGGGCTTCTCTTTACCAACACACATATAATACCTTACAATTAAAACTTAAACTAAATCTGGGTTTTCTTACTTTCAACACTCACAATATGACACAGCAAAAACTAAATCTTTACAATCCAAAGCCATAAATTAAATAAAAGTAAAATAAACCAAGAGTAATCAAATGAGACGAAACCTTGGCGATCTGATTTCGTCTTCAAGCTCGGAATCTGTTATTTATCTTCCAAATTTGTTGATGTTCTGTTGATCTTCCCATGTCACTTGCGTGTCAGATTTTCCACCCTTTACATATAAAAAGTATATTTAAAAACACTAAATTACTGAGAAAAAAAGATGAAAAACAACATAATGGAGAATAGAAAAGTTTCACAAGGGCTTTTTATTACCTGTTCTTGTTGCATGCTTGATTCAAGAAAGACGCAAAGTGAAGCTCGAGGTGTTGTTTTGTTGAGTTTTCTGCAGAGAAACACAGCGAAGATGTTTGTCACTTACTACATAGAGCTGTTGGGGGATTTATGGGAAAATCATCACTTTTGGGTTTTATATAACTCAACAAATATTGAGGATCTCTTGGTATTTTATTTACTGATATAACCTTTTTTCTTCAACTTTTTTTTTTCTTTTTTTCACAAAAAAGGTTGGCAGTAATTCTTAATAGCATAGCTACTTTGAAATATTATTCAATTAAATCAGGGTGTTTACAATATTATATAAAAAAATTAGAGTAAATATCATGAAATTTTACATGTGAATCTAATATGGTCGAAAAAACTAATTCTAACTTAATGCAAAAATTTAAAGATATTTCCACCTGCAAATTTCCATAGAATATATTTTCCTTACATGTCATATAATAGGCATAATTTATTATGTAATTTTAAAATTCAATTTTAAAAAATAAAATTAGAACAGTTGAAGTGCATAGATTTCGCATAACTTCTCTTGCTATATTATTATTAAAGTAAATGACTTTTTCCCACCTAAGGTTTACCTTAATAATTTCCCACCAAAAATGTTTTAAAATACTACTTTCCCATCCAAAAGTTTATATTCATAAATATCCAAAATACATTTTCCTTTCTCAGCCAGCATTCGACAAGTTACCAAAAGTCAAGATAAGAGAGACTTTTTGGAGTAGAGGCCGATAGATCGAATGGTGATAACCGATTGACTATTTGTCACCAAAATCAACTAAAAATTAGTTATTTATGATGATCGATATTCGACGAGAAATCAAGTGTTTGACTGAGAGGAGTTTTGTAGAGAGAAGACCATAGGTTCAAATAGTCGCGACGAAGTTAATTTTCACTCTCAAAACCGACTGTGCATGGGAAAGTAATATTTTGAAGGGTGGCAAAAAGTCGTTTACTTAATTATTGTTATGTCAAAGTTTTAAAACTTTAGAACAAGACTAGTGAAATTATTTATTTGATCAAAAGATAACTCATATTTTTATAGACTCTTTTTACGAGTTTGACTAAATATAAGTAAACAATATTAATTTATATTTGATCAGCAATCTCTCAATATTCTAGATAATTTTTTTTATATATATTCCAAATTTAATTAATGATTCGTTTTACAGTTCTCAATTTCTTGTAAGCCATTGCAAACCACTTGTCATTTTGCTATAACATGAAGACACGAATTTAACAAATACAATTCACAACTGAAATTTGGACATGCTATCCAAACCAAAGACTAAGATTGAATTCCCTTTATAATCTCAAACAATGTTTTAAAACCCAACCCGACTCGTCTGGTTGAACCGGTTCAACCAAGACTTGCGGCCTTCATTGGCCGTGTTAGCAACTTTCCTATTTACCAAAAATCTTAGAAATGGGACGGTGATCAGTGAACAATTGAAGGCCGAGATGTTAAGGCTTTTGAAGAGAAAGGGTCGATGAGTGCAATGGTGACGACATATATGATTTTCAGTGAGTGAATTGATCGGAAATAAAAAAAAACTCACAACAACAACAACCAGCTTTTGTTGACGATTGGCGAGACGAACAGAAATGGGGTGAGATGAGTTTTGGTCAAGAGACTAAAGAGAGTATTTTCGTGATGATGGAAATGGTTGTCGACACCTACGGTGGTGAGATGTAACCTAGGTTGTCAACGACGGTGGTGAGATCTGGCCGACCAAATCTTGAGTAGATTTTCTGGAGAATGGCTTAGGAGATGACTGAGATTGCATTTGGTGTGTCGCTGCCACCAACCAGTCAACCGTCGATTTGTATTTGGGGTGTGTTTACTAAATTTCAAACCTATAGGTACTTAATGGTGTATTTGCTGAATATTAAACTTTTGACCACCCGGTTAAGCTGGTTAAACTGGTCAATCCGGGACCTGACAACTTTGTCAGGTTTCACCCTGGGTTGGTTATTAAAACACTGATCTCAGGAATTCACCATGCAACTTGAATTACAATAGTTGCCCGAACCAGAACACAAACAGAAAATTCACTCTGTAAAAACAAATGTAATGAAAAGAACTCAACAGATCCCGCAAGTGTAACGTGTAATATTGGGTATGATACAAACACAAATGAGTAGCAAACCCCATATTGTTAGTCCATATAGCTGTGATGATTCTACAATATTATAATAATATATATATAACTTAAATATATAACTGATACAGTAAAAGATAATTTGCAGGAGAGTTTCATGGGACGAGGACTTTTCTGCAGTATGACAAGACCATTACAAAGTCCTTAGCCGAAGAGCCCACTGATGCAGGTACCTTCTTTGCTGTTGATGCTGTCCGAAACCACAGGTCTACTAAGTTATGAAGCTGCAATGTTGGAAGCACCGGCTGGCCCCGGCACAATATCTCCACCTGTAAGATGATTACATTCGACCCTTAGAAAGAATGAAGTACCAGGAAACGCTTGTTTTATTAACATAAAGTGTAATCAAAATATCATAAGTTTTTGGGAACTTATAGCATGTATCATATAGAAATGGTGGAATGCTTTCGCAGAGTAACTCAATCTAATCATTCTCAGTTTTGAGGAAAGGGTAGGACATGGACTCGCCTCAGCTTCACTGTCGAGATCGAGTTTCTTCACAAGGTACTTCTGAATAAATGAGACAGGCATTTTACCATCCCTATGACCAACACACAAAAAAGCCAGTGAGCATGAGATATTCTGATAAGCATAGAAAATTACAGTCAATGACTAACTTCATCAAGCCTCCAAATGTTTGAGCAAACAAAGAACTAACAATAATCACAAAAATCATCTGAAACTTTGTCAGAAATTAAGCCACCAATTAGTGACCCAGTTGAATTTTTTTTTTTTTTCAAACAAATTGGTTCAAGGGAACTCACTGACAAGCACAGGGAATGAAATAAACAATGTATGCAAAAACTCTGTAAATACAAGTTATCAAAGATGACATAAAGGAAAAAAAAAAAAAAGAACCTCCAAATCGTATGAAAATTTTTGGACATGCTACCCTGAATCTATCACCTAGTTTTTGATATAATAAGTTTCATATAAGGGCAGCAATGTGTCTTAACCCCTCTTTAGTTTCAACTTGGCCCTTGCCGAAGTTTAACGTACCTTACAATAAACATCATAACAGTACTAGCAAGAACAATCTCACAGTTTAATATTAGCTCATCCAAAAGTGTTAAAACATGATCAAAATGTTGACTTAAACCACAAGTTCAACAGGTGTAAAGCAAATAGCAAACCCTCTAGGCAGGTAACAGATCTGAATAAACTCACTTTATCCTCAAGTAGCATGCTGAGATCTGTGGCAAGCAAGCATCATCTTTCCTGAAGCCATTTTCCATAAAATTAGAGACTAGCACTCAAGCAATTGAAAAATCAAGCTCTGCAAATAATAGATACCATATGCACTGGAGCTTTACCTCAAGTGTTAAAGATGTAGGATAGGGGTTGCGTTAAATATTAAGTTCAGACCCTAAGAAGCATATAAACCAAATATGATAACAAGTGATTATATCAAGGTTCTAAGTAGCATCTTACTGATCTTCTGAGGCAACTAATGAGAACCAGACTGGACTGTTCCTTCTTTTATGCTTAGCTCCTGAAGCATCTAGCATGACTTTTGCTGCAGCACACAACTCACTAGATTCAGCATCCCTTTTCTTTGCTGCTGCACGCAACCTTCTACGCTTCACAGGTCCTGAAAGTAAACTTTTTCCATTCTTGTCATCATGGAATTTTGTATTCTGTCCGTGCTCTTTCAGTTTGGATCTAGGCAAGCATACTTCACTGCCAGGAGCATTTGGCAAATCTACTTTGGATTTGGTTTCAGGCATATATAGTTCAGAATCAGCGGCATTTTGCAGATCTGATTTGACAAGAGAAAGCCCTTGTGAACTTGACTTGGAGGACTTGGTTCTGTTCGCAGCTTCAACAAGACAGTTTAAGGGTGTCCAGAGATCAGCTTTCCCTTCCATCATTTCAACATCATTCTCAGTATCCTCATAAGCCCTTTGCTCATTATAAGGCTCAGCCTTGCAAGAATCCTGCATTAGTTTAAGGATGAATAACTGCTAATATAATAAATGTGAATAATCAGAATTAAAGTTAAATTTTAGAAAACAGAGTTCCACCTCCTTTACCTGCCTTTTATTTTGTGTAATTTTAACAAAAGAATCCGGTGAGCTTGATCTCGTTGGACGATCTTCAGCAGAATCTTCCTTCTTGTCCTCAGTAACAAAACCACATCCTCGTAAAGCAGCAGCCTTTCTTGCACTGCCTTTTGTCCTCTTTCCAGTCAGGCCAGTCTGCAGCGGCACTTTGGGAGTGCTGACCACCAATGATGATAGTGATCTTTCCTTCCTTTTAGCTGGTAGAGAAATAGAAGGCATAACTTCAGGAGCTTGAACCTTTCTTCTTCTATACGGGAATATTTTAGCCCTTATATCTTGGAGATTGTGGTCTGCCCTGCTGAATTCCATAGACACTCAAGATATGCATATGTAAAAGCAAAACTAAAGTAGTTACACTACCAAGCTAAATGTTCTCCCAGAAGTAAGCAAAAAAAGAACCCACAAAACAAGAGTTTTATCAAATTAAGGAGGCATAAGTCACCACAATTAAGGAGTTTGCTGCTTTAAACTGCTTTGGTTGCTTGCATAGTAACACATATATGGTGTCTGCCAAGGGGCTGAAGCCAGCCTATGTTTCTAATTTTAAAATCCCAAATACTCAAATTCATAACAAAATATTAAAGTTAGACTTTTGCTCTCACTTGACAAAGTACTCCCTCTTGACTTCTAAAAAAGCTTGATAGCTTTTTCATAAAATTCATGAGATTTTAAACATTCCCTTAGGTTTAAACTCAAGAGATAGGGACAAATTCAGATTTCATATTTGAAATTGATCAATCAAAAAATTTCCCGTAATGCTAAATGAAGTCTCATTTTGTGCTAAAGCATGGCTTCATTTTTGGCAGAGAAGAGGCACTACACTTTAGAAACAAATAATACTAACAAAATTTGCAGAGTAGCTTAATATTGCTTTTCAAACATAGACACCAACCATCATTTGCTTTCTAATTAATCCTCTAACATATCCCTGCTATAGATAATATGATTAAAAAAATTCTAGTCATGCAAGTTTGGAGCTGGATAAGATCTGAGCTACACGATGATAAGGTCTACACCTCTGAAATGATACGAGAGAAACAATAAAAACACAGTTAAAAAGCTTCTGACAATGAAAGTTGTGCTCTAACAACATAAATATAAAGTAAATCAGGCTTCAATGAAGAACAAGACACTGTCAATAAGGCTTGTTCGGTTCAAACCAACCATGCCCAAACAAGAAGTTGAAAAACAAAATACATGATTGACAAGGCTTTGCAAAGGATGCAACTCTAGAAAGAGCTGAATGACAAAAATGGATACATGAGTTAATAATTTTGAGTTGACTCTTTGTTAAGTTCAATTGGACTGTAAGTTAGTAGCATGTTAGTACGGTTGCTGAGTAGCAGAACAGAGGATATTACGGATATACAAGTTGAATGAAAGGTCAAATGCGAGTTTATTGAAGAACTATGGGCAAGATTCAGAAAGCATGCCTTCTTTTATGCAAATTCTACTGTATCACACAAAAAAAAATTGGTTCCTAAAACTGAAGCTGAGGAAAAGTAGAATTAATCAAATAGAAGTGCATGGCTACACCCATCTGAAGATTAAAAAAGCAAAGGAAGGTCTTCTAATGGTCTCCATGGAATGAAAAGAAGAATTCCAGAGCTTCCAAAGAAATGGGTTGATAATGCACAGAGTATATAGAATAGAAAACACAGCAAAGGCTACAAGCTTCAATCAGGGTAGAGAACTGGAGGTAGCCAAAATTAACGCAAAACAACTATGAAAATGAGGTTAGATTGATGCAATAAGGGAACTTATGCATGGGGATGATGAGAAGAACATAGAACTGTAAAAGAAGAAGAGAGATCATCCTGTAAACAATTAAAAGGATATAAAAACAGAAAAGATAATGCAAGAACGTAGGGGGAAAAAGGTAGGAAAATGTGACAATAAAGTGTGAACAAACAAAAATATGACCATAAGACCTGTCCTAGCCAAGCATGACTAGAGAAAAAGAGAACCACAAAAAAAAAAAAAATCCAGAAGAGAGGCGAGGATAAGTCCTAGAGTGTTTGATGTGATAGTCACTTAACTCATTACCAAAACCAAGTTCAATTTTAATAAAATTAGAATTGCGGTGTGTTTCAAACAACCAGACCAAGCAGTCTGAAGCCAAAAACTCTCCAACACTATTAACTGGGAAAATCATCACTTTTGGGTTTATATAAACTCAACAAATTATGAGGATCTTGGTATTTTTATTTACTGATATAACCTTTTTCTTCAACTTTTTTTTTTCTTTTTTTCACAAAAAAGGTTGGCAGTAATTCTGAATATGCATAGCTACTTTGAAATATATTCAATTAAATCAGGGTGTTTACAATTTATATAAAAAAAAATTAGAGTAAATATCATGAAATTTTTACATGTGAATCTAATATGGTCGAAAAAACTAATTTCTAACTTTAATGCAAAAATTTAAAGTATTTCCACCTGCAAATTTCCTATAGAATATATTACATTACAGTCATATAAAGGCATAATTTATTATGTAATTTTAAAATTCAATTTTAAAAAATAAAATTAGAAACAGTTGAAGTGCATAGATTTCGCATAACTTCTTGCTATATTATATTAAAGTAAATGACTTTTCCCACCTAAGGTTTACTAATAATTTCCCACCAAAAATGTTTAAAATACTACTTTCCCATCCAAAAGTTTATATTCATAAATACCAAAATACATTTTCCTTTCTCAGCCAGCATTCGACAAGTTACCAAAAGTCAAGATAAGAGAGACTTTTGGAGTAGAGGCCGATAGATCGAATGGTGATAACCGATTGACTATTTGTCACCAAAATCAACTAAAAATTAGTTTATTATGATGATCGATATTCGACGAGAAATCAAGTGTTTGACTGAGAGGAGTTTGTAGAGAGAAGACCATAGGTTCAAATAGTCGCGACGAAGTTATTTTCACTCTAAAACCGACTGTGCATGGGAAAGTAATATTTTGAAGGGTGGCAAAAAGTCGTTTACTTAATTATTGTTATGTCAAAGTTTTAAAACTTTAGAACAAGACTAGTGAAATTATTATTTGATCAAAAGATAACTCATATTTATAGACTCTTTTACGAGTTTGACATAAATATAAGTAAACAATATTAATTTATATTGATCAGCAATCTCCAATATTCTAGATAATTTTTTTTATATATATTCCAAATTTAATTAATGATTCGTTTTACAGTTCTCAATTTTGTAAGCCATTGCAAACCACTGTCATTTTGCTAAACATGAAGACACGAATTAACAAATACAATCACAACTGAAATTGGACATGCTATCCAAGCCAAAGACTCAGATTGGATTCTCTCTGTAATCTCAAACAATGTTTTAAAACCCAATCGGATCCGTTCGGTTGAACCGATTCAACCAAGACTTGTAGCCTTCATGGGTTGGGTTAGCAACTTTCTACTTTACCAAAAATCCTAGAAATGGAGGGTGATTGACAATAATTGAATACCGGGATGTTAGGGCTTTTGAAGAGAAAGATCGATGAGTATAATGGTGGCGACGGATATGATTTTCGGTGAGTGAATTGATGGAAATTAAAAAAAAACCCACAACAACATCAACCAGCTTTTGTTGACGATTGGCGAGACAAACAGAAGTGGGGTGAAATGAGTCTAGGTCAGGAGACTAAGAGAGATTCATGATGATAGAAAGGGTTGTCGACACCTACGTGGTGAGATGTACCTGGGTTGTCAATGACGACAATGGTGAGATCTGACCGACCAAATCTTGAGTAGATTTTCTGGAGAATGGCTTAGGGGATGACAAGATTGCATTTGGTGGTGTCTGTTGCTAAAAGTCGACTGTCGATTATTGTTTTGGGGTGTTTACTAAATTCAAACCTATAGGGACTTAATGGTGCATTTACTGAATTTTAAACTTTAGCCACCCGGCAAGCTGGTTAAACTGGTCAACCCAGGACCTGACAACTTTGCAGGTTTCACCCTGGGTTGGTTATTAAAACATGATTCAGGAATTCACCTGCAACTTGAATTACAATAGTTGCCCGAACCAGAACACAACAGAAAATTCACTCTGTAAAAAAAAATGTAATGAAAAGAACTCAAAAGATCCTAACGTGTAATATTGGGTATGATACAAACACAAATGAGTAGCAAACCCCATATTGTTAGTCCATATAGCTGTGATGATTCTACAATATTATAATAATATATATATAACTTAAATATATAACTGATACAGTAAAAGATAATTTGCAGGAGAGTTTCATGGGACGAGGACTTTTCTGCAGTATGACAAGACCATTACAAAGTCCTTAGCCGAAGAGCCCATGATGCAGGTATTCTTTGCTGTTGATGCTGTCCGAAACCACAGGTCTACTAAGTTATGAAGCTGCAAGTTGGAAGCAATGGCTGGCCCCGGACAATATCTCCACCTGAAGATGATTACAGTCGACCTTAGAAAGAATAAAGTACCAGGAAACGCTGTTTTATTAACATAAAGTGTAATCAAAATATCATAAGTTTTTGGGAACTTATAGCAGATATAGAAATGGTGGAATGCTTTCGCAGAGTAACTCAATCTAATCTTCTCAGTTTTGAGGAAAGGGTAGGACATGGACTCGCTCAGCTTCACTGTCGAGATGAGTTTCTTCACAAGGTACTTCTGAATAAATGAGACAGGCATTTTACCATCCCTATGACCAACACACAAAAAAGCCAGTGAGCATGAGATATTCTGCTAAGCATAGAAAATTACAGTCAATGACTAACTTCATCAAGCCTCCAAATGTTTGAGCAAAAAGAACTAACAATAATCACAAAAATCATCTGAACTTTGTCAGAAATTAAGCCACCAATTAGTGACCCAGTTGAATTTTTTTTTTTTTTTCAAACAAATTGGTTCAAGGGAACTCACTGACAAGACACGGGAATGAAATAAACAATGTATGCAAAAACTCTGTAAAATCAAGTTATCAAAGATGACATAAAGGAAAAAAAAAAAAAGAATCTCCAAATCGTATGAAAATTTTTGGACATGCACCCTGAATCTATCACCTAGTTTTGATATAATAAGTTTCATTAAGGGCAGCAATGTGTCTAACCCCTCTTTAGTTTCAACTTGGCCCTTGCCGAAGTTAACGTACCTACAATAAACATCATAACAGTACTAGCAAGAACAATCTCACAGTTTAATATTAGCTCATCCAAAGTGTTAAAACATGATCAAAATGTTGACTTAAACCACAAGTTCAACAGGTGTAAAGCAAATAGCCACCTCTAGGCAGGTAACAGATCGAATAAACTCACTTATCCTCAAGTAGCATGCTGGAGATGTGGCAAGCAAGCATCATCTTTCCTGAAGCCATTTTCCATAAAATTAGAGACTAGCACTCAAGCAATTGAAAAATCAAGCTCTGCAATAATAGATACCATATGCACTGGAGCTTTACCTCAAGTGTTAAAGATGTAGGATGGGGTTGCGTTAAATATTAAGTCAGACCCTAAGAAGCATATAAACCAAATATGATACAAGTGATTATATCAAGGGTCTAAGTAGTCTTACTGATCTTTGAGGAACTAATGAGAACCAGACTGGACTGTTCTTCTTTAGGTTAGCTCCTGAAGCATCTAGCATGACTTTTGCTGCAGCACACAACTCACTAGATCAGATCCCTTTTCTTTGCTGCTGCACGCAACCTTCTACGTTCACAGGTCCTGAAAGTAAACTTTTTCCATTCTTGTCATCATGGAATTTTGTATTCTGTCCGTGCTTTTCAGTTTGGATCTAGGCAAGCATACTTCACTGCCAGGAGTATTTATTTCGGCAAATTACTTTTGAACTGTCGAAATGTCTACAAATATGATGTCCATACAAACTACTGAAGTAAGTCGGTAATTCTTGGAAAAGGAGAATCATATAAAGACCAAAGCAAAAGGCAGCCGAATTACAGGGAAATAACAATTCATAGCCGACTAATCCTCCTCTAGATTGATAGAGTCCTTGAATTTCCCATATAGAATCTTCTTCAACTCCGCCATTTGGGCAACTATAGATTCCTTCTCTTCCTCAAGTTTTTCCAACTTCTTACTAGTCACCTCTTTCATCTCTTCTATCCTGGTCTCTACTTCTTCCTTCGGCACATGGGCAAAGACTTCTCCTATTTGGAACCGGACAATATCTTCATCCGTCAGAATCAATTCATTGCCTGCGTCCTCCAGGTTCTCATTTGTTTCCTTTAGAAAATAACACACGCAAGTCAGAAAGGGAATCAAATAAGAAACCAAGAAGCATCAAACAAATGTTGCTAAATGAGGGACTGAATATGATAAAAACAGTCAGAAGGAATGCAACATAGGTTACTTCCAAGTCTTGTTGAGAGAAAAAAGACCTGTAAAGCTACTATGAGAAATTGCAAAAGTTCTAAAATGAAAAAACGGAGGCAATATACATACTTCTGCATATGCCATATCAGAAGTTGATACGTACAAGCCATATTGGGAGTCTAGAGAATGGCTAAGGTGCATATTGGAAGAAAGAAAACTCAAACTACGATTTCTCCCTCAGAAAAATTTGCAAGAGGTTTCTGCTAGCGGGCTTTCTTCCCTTTCTATCCAATAGTTCTAAATATCAGAATAAACTCGTTTAGACAACACAAACCATACAACTAAAAGTAACCAACAATAAACTCTATAGCTCCTGACCATATACTTTTGGCATATAACCGCCAGCATTAACAGGTCTAGCTACTGGCATTATAAAAATGAAACAGCATCTTTTATAACTTCAATTACATCAACTTGATATAGATATAATCTTAGGCTAAACATGACTTCCACAAATGTAAATTTGCATGATTCTTTTCAAGAAAAATTGTTTGACTATCTGTAAAAATTTCTCTAATACAACTGTTTTACCACATATAATCTCTGCCTTCCATATTACATCACTAAGACCTTCAACCTGATTTGCTGTCCTTCATATATGCTCAATTTGCTAAATATCCCAGAAAAAAAAAATTAATACCATGCCATGTAACATACGGTGAAAGGTAAAGATATCAAGTCCAGGTTTCAACAATACCACTAGAACTTTTTGATGTCTATATAAACATCCAAACCACTTAAGCCTCTTAAATTTCTACAACCACATAGAGAAAGCAATAAGAACGAAAATTACTTGATTTTGTTCACAAGAGAAGCAATATATAACATGGCATTCTCATACTATTCACCACAGCATTATCTTTAGCTCGTCGTAATTTTCTAGTTTACACATCATCATGGAATGAGAGAAGAAAAAACTGTGATTTCTTTCTTCCTTTTCTTTCAAAATCCCGGCTAAACCTAAAAAGAACAACTCAAATCATGGATCAGCTGAATGACTGAGCTTCTGATATATTATCCAAAAATTTCAATCAAACTCAGTGAACCAAGATATTTGCAATCGATACTGGAGATGCTTCCAGTATTGTTTCTATCCACCAAACATCTCATTTAAGAGTTTTAAGGCAAATAATCAAACTCAAATTTATATTATTACCAACTCATTAATTTTCACATTAAACAAGGCCTAAGCAACTCTCACTCATTCACTCAGCTTAAAAGTTGGCTTCTTCTGAACATAAAGTTATCCAAAACGAACTAATCGAAAATCAGCCACAATCTAAAGATAACAGAGACTCAAAAACTTTCTTCGCATACCCAAAATACAATTTTCCAAACACAGACATAAATATACGAAGAATACCTACAAAGAAATCAAAACAAGAAGTGGGCTTTTCTCTTTACCAACACACATATAATACCTTACAATTAAAACTTAAACTAAATCTGGGTTGCTATTACTTTCAACACTCACTAATATGACACAGCAAAAACTAAATCTTTACAATCCAAAAGCCATAAATTAAATAAAAGTAAAATAAACCCAAGAGTAATCAAAAGAGACGAAACCTTGGCGATCTTGATTTCGTCTTCAAGCTCATGGAATCTGTTATTTAATCTTCCAAATTTGTTGATGTTCTGTTGATCTTCCCATGTCACTTGCGTGTCAGATTTTCCACCCTTTACATAAAAAAAGTATATTTAAAACCACTAAATTACCTGAGAAAAAAATGATGAAAAACCAACATAATGCACCATATAAAAGTTTCACAAGGGCTTTTTATTACCTGTTCTTGTTGCATGCTTGATTCAAGAAAGACGCAAAAGTGAAGCTCGAGTGTTGTTTTGTTGAGTTGTCTGCAGAGAAACACAGCGAAGAGTTTATGTTCACTTACTACATAGAGCTGTTGGGGGATTTAGGGGAAAATCATCACTTTTGGGTTTTATATAAATTCGACAGATTATTGAGGATCTCTTGGTATTTTTATTTACTGATATAACCTTTTTTCTTCAACTTTTTTTTTTTTCTTTTTTTTCCACAAAAAAGGTTGGCAGTAATTCTTGAATATGCATAGCTACTTTGAAATATATATTCAATTAAATCAGGGTGTTTACAATATTATATAAAAAAAAATTAGAGTAAATATCATGAAATTTTTTACATGTGAATCTAATATGGTCGAAAAAACTAATTTCTAACTTTAATGCAAAAATTTAAAGATATTTCCACCTGAAAATTTTCCTATAGAATATATTACATTACATGTCATATAATAGGCAGAATTTATTATGTAATTTTAAAATTCAATTTTAAAAAATAAAATTATAACAGTTCAAGTGCATAGATTTTGCGTAACTGCTCTTGCTATATTGGCTTCGTTTGTTTCAATTTTCAGAATACTACTTTTAGTATTCCCAAAAAAGTTAAACAGTAAAATGTCATTATCCCCAAAATATTATTCTATATTTTTTAATTTCTTTTAAACCTCCTAAATTTATTAATTTAACTAAACACCCCTAAATATTTTTTTTAGAAATTGTAAAGACACTCCGGCCACCTTCCGACGGTGGTGGCCGACTGTCCGTATTTGAGGGTGGGTTGCAGATGTTTTTGTTAACTTTTAATGTTTTATTATAGGGGTGTTTTGTAAATAAACAAACATAGGGGGTATTTTATTAATTTGTAAATCTACATCGTAATACCCGCCCAATTCAACTTTTTTTTAACTTTTTTCAAAAAAAATTTCCCAAAAACGCAAAAATGTGAACCAAACGGAGCCATTATTATTAAAGTAAATGACTTTTTCCCACCTAGGGTTTGTCTCAATGATTTCCCACCAAAAAAGTTTTAAAATACTATTTTCCCACCAAAAGTTTATATTCATTAATATCCAAAATATATTTTCCTTTCTCAGTCAACATTCGACAAGTTACCAAAAGTCAAGATAAGAGAGACTTTTTGGAGTAGAGGCCAATAAATCAAATGGTGATAACCGATTGACTATTTGTCACCAAAATCAACTAAAAATTAGCTAATTATAGTGATCGGCATTCGACAAGAAATCAAATGTTTGAGTGAGAGAAGTTTTGTAGAGAGAAGACCATAGGTTCAAATAGTCGCGACGAAGTTAATTTTCACTCTCAAAACCGACTGTGCATGGGAAAGTAATATTTTGAAGGGTGGGAAAAAGTCGTTTACTTAATTATTGTTATGTCAAAGTTTTAAAACTTTAGAACAAGACTAGTGAAATTATTTATTTGATCAAAAGATAACTCATATTTTTATAGACTCTTTTACGAGTTTGACTAAATATAAGTAAACAATATTAATTTATATTTGATCAGCAATCTCTCAATATTCTAGATACTTTTTTTTATATATATTCCAAATTTAATTAATGATTCGTTTTACAGTCTCAATTTCTTGTAAGCCATTGCCCACTTTCATTTTGCTATAACATGAAGACACGAATTTAACAAATACAATTCACAACTGAAATTTGGACATGCTATCCAACCAAAGACTAAGATTGATTCTCCTTATAATCTCAAACAATGTTTTAAAACCCAACCCGTCGTCTGGTTGAACCGTTCAACCAGACTTGCCTTCATTGGGTTTAGCAACTTTCCTATTACCAAAAATCTAGAAATGGGAGGTGATCAAACAATTGAAGCCGGATGTTAGCTTTTGAAGGAAAGTCGATGAGTAATGGGTGCGACATATATGATTTTCGTGAGTGAATTGATCGAAAAAAAAAACCACAACAACACAACCAGCTTTTGTTGACGATTGGCGAGACAAGAAATGGGGTGAATGAGTTGGTCAGAGACTAAGAGAGTATTTCATGATGATGGAAAGTTGTCGACACCTACGTGGTGAGATGTACCTGGTTGTCAACGACGGTGGAGATCTGACCGACCAAATTCGAGTAGATTTTCTGGAGAATGGCTTAGGAGATGACTAGATTGCATTTGGTGGTGTCGCTGCAACAGTCACTCGATTTTATTTGGGGTGTGTTTACTAAATTTCAAACCTATAGGACTTAATGGTGATTTCTGAATTTAAACTTTTGACCACCCGGTCAAGCTGGTTAAACTGGTCAACCGGGACCTGACAACTTTGCAGGTTCACCCTGGGTTGGTTATTAAAACACTGATCTCAGGAATTCACCTGCAACTTGAATTACAATAGTTGCCCGAACCAGAAACACAACAGAAAATTCACTCTGTAAAACAAATGTAATGAAAAGAACTCAACAGATCCAAGTTAACGTGTAATATTGGGTATGATACAAACACAAATGAGTAGCAAACCCCATATTGTTAGTCCATATAGCTGTGATGATTCTACAATATTATAATAATAATATATATAACTTAAATATATAACTGATACAGTAAAAGATATTTGCAGGAGAGTTTCATGGGACGAGGACTTTTCGCAGTATGACAAGACCATTACAAAGTCCTTAGCCGAAGAGCCCACGATGCAGGTACCTTCTTTGCTGTTGATGCTGTCCGAAACCACAGGTCTACTAAGTTATGAAGCTGCAATGTTGGAAGCACGGCTGGCCCCGCACAATACTCCACCTGAAGATGATTACATCGACCTTAGAAAGAATAAAGTACCGGAAACGCCTGTTTTATTAACATAAAGTGTAATCAAATATCATAAGTTTTTGGGAACTTATAGCATGTATCATAGAAATGGTGGAATGCTTTCGCAGAGTAACTCAATCTATCTTCTCAGTTTTGAGGAAAGGGTAGGACATGGACTCGCCTCAGCTTCACTGTCGAGATCGAGTTTCTTCACAAGGTACTTCTGAATAAATGAGACAGGCATTTTACCATCCCTAGACCAACACACAAAAAGCCATGAGCATGAGATATTCTGTAAGCATAGAAAAACAGTCAATGACTAACTTCATCAAGCCTCCAAATGTTTGAGCAAACAAAGAACTAACAATAATCACAAAAATCATCTGAACTTTGTCAGAAATTAAGCCCCACCATTATGACCCAGTTGAATTTTTTTTTTTTTTTTTTTTTTTAAACAAATTGGTTCAAGGGAACTCACTGACAAGCACAGGGAATGAAATAAACAATGTATGCAAAAACTCTGTAAATACAAGTTATCAAAGATGACATAAAGGAAAAAAAAAAAAAAGAACCTCCAAATCGTATGAAAATTTTTGGACATGCTACCCTGAATCTATCACCTAGTTTTTGATATAATAAGTTTCATATAAGGGCAGCAATGTGTCTTAACCCCTCTTTAGTTTCAACTTGGCCCTTGCCGAAGTTTAACGTACCTTACAATAAACATCATAACAGTACTAGCAAGAACAATCTCACAGTTTAATATTAGCTCATCCAAAAGTGTTAAAACATGATCAAAATGTTGACTTAAACCACAAGTTCAACAGGTGTAAAGCAAATAGCAAACCCTCTAGGCAGGTAACAGATCTGAATAAACTCACTTTATCCTCAAGTAGCATGCTGAGATCTGTGGCAAGCAAGCATCATCTTTCCTGAAGCCATTTTCCATAAAATTAGAGACTAGCACTCAAGCAATTGAAAAATCAAGCTCTGCAAATAATAGATACCATATGCACTGGAGCTTTACCTCAAGTGTTAAAGATGTAGGATAGGGGTTGCGTTAAATATTAAGTTCAGACCCTAAGAAGCATATAAACCAAATATGATAACAAGTGATTATATCAAGGTTCTAAGTAGCATCTTACTGATCTTCTGAGGCAACTAATGAGAACCAGACTGGACTGTTCCTTCTTTTATGCTTAGCTCCTGAAGCATCTAGCATGACTTTTGCTGCAGCACACAACTCACTAGATTCAGCATCCCTTTTCTTTGCTGCTGCACGCAACCTTCTACGCTTCACAGGTCCTGAAAGTAAACTTTTTCCATTCTTGTCATCATGGAATTTTGTATTCTGTCCGTGCTCTTTCAGTTTGGATCTAGGCAAGCATACTTCACTGCCAGGAGCATTTGGCAAATCTACTTTGGATTTGGTTTCAGGCATATATAGTTCAGAATCAGCGGCATTTTGCAGATCTGATTTGACAAGAGAAAGCCCTTGTGAACTTGACTTGGAGGACTTGGTTCTGTTCGCAGCTTCAACAAGACAGTTTAAGGGTGTCCAGAGATCAGCTTTCCCTTCCATCATTTCAACATCATTCTCAGTATCCTCATAAGCCCTTTGCTCATTATAAGGCTCAGCCTTGCAAGAATCCTGCATTAGTTTAAGGATGAATAACTGCTAATATAATAAATGTGAATAATCAGAATTAAAGTTAAATTTTAGAAAACAGAGTTCCACCTCCTTTACCTGCCTTTTATTTTGTGTAATTTTAACAAAAGAATCCGGTGAGCTTGATCTCGTTGGACGATCTTCAGCAGAATCTTCCTTCTTGTCCTCAGTAACAAAACCACATCCTCGTAAAGCAGCAGCCTTTCTTGCACTGCCTTTTGTCCTCTTTCCAGTCAGGCCAGTCTGCAGCGGCACTTTGGGAGTGCTGACCACCAATGATGATAGTGATCTTTCCTTCCTTTTAGCTGGTAGAGAAATAGAAGGCATAACTTCAGGAGCTTGAACCTTTCTTCTTCTATACGGGAATATTTTAGCCCTTATATCTTGGAGATTGTGGTCTGCCCTGCTGAATTCCATAGACACTCAAGATATGCATATGTAAAAGCAAAACTAAAGTAGTTACACTACCAAGCTAAATGTTCTCCCAGAAGTAAGCAAAAAAAGAACCCACAAAACAAGAGTTTTATCAAATTAAGGAGGCATAAGTCACCACAATTAAGGAGTTTGCTGCTTTAAACTGCTTTGGTTGCTTGCATAGTAACACATATATGGTGTCTGCCAAGGGGCTGAAGCCAGCCTATGTTTCTAATTTTAAAATCCCAAATACTCAAATTCATAACAAAATATTAAAGTTAGACTTTTGCTCTCACTTGACAAAGTACTCCCTCTTGACTTCTAAAAAAGCTTGATAGCTTTTTCATAAAATTCATGAGATTTTAAACATTCCCTTAGGTTTAAACTCAAGAGATAGGGACAAATTCAGATTTCATATTTGAAATTGATCAATCAAAAAATTTCCCGTAATGCTAAATGAAGTCTCATTTTGTGCTAAAGCATGGCTTCATTTTTGGCAGAGAAGAGGCACTACACTTTAGAAACAAATAATACTAACAAAATTTGCAGAGTAGCTTAATATTGCTTTTCAAACATAGACACCAACCATCATTTGCTTTCTAATTAATCCTCTAACATATCCCTGCTATAGATAATATGATTAAAAAAATTCTAGTCATGCAAGTTTGGAGCTGGATAAGATCTGAGCTACACGATGATAAGGTCTACACCTCTGAAATGATACGAGAGAAACAATAAAAACACAGTTAAAAAGCTTCTGACAATGAAAGTTGTGCTCTAACAACATAAATATAAAGTAAATCAGGCTTCAATGAAGAACAAGACACTGTCAATAAGGCTTGTTCGGTTCAAACCAACCATGCCCAAACAAGAAGTTGAAAAACAAAATACATGATTGACAAGGCTTTGCAAAGGATGCAACTCTAGAAAGAGCTGAATGACAAAAATGGATACATGAGTTAATAATTTTGAGTTGACTCTTTGTTAAGTTCAATTGGACTGTAAGTTAGTAGCATGTTAGTACGGTTGCTGAGTAGCAGAACAGAGGATATTACGGATATACAAGTTGAATGAAAGGTCAAATGCGAGTTTATTGAAGAACTATGGGCAAGATTCAGAAAGCATGCCTTCTTTTATGCAAATTCTACTGTATCACACAAAAAAAAATTGGTTCCTAAAACTGAAGCTGAGGAAAAGTAGAATTAATCAAATAGAAGTGCATGGCTACACCCATCTGAAGATTAAAAAAGCAAAGGAAGGTCTTCTAATGGTCTCCATGGAATGAAAAGAAGAATTCCAGAGCTTCCAAAGAAATGGGTTGATAATGCACAGAGTATATAGAATAGAAAACACAGCAAAGGCTACAAGCTTCAATCAGGGTAGAGAACTGGAGGTAGCCAAAATTAACGCAAAACAACTATGAAAATGAGGTTAGATTGATGCAATAAGGGAACTTATGCATGGGGATGATGAGAAGAACATAGAACTGTAAAAGAAGAAGAGAGATCATCCTGTAAACAATTAAAAGGATATAAAAACAGAAAAGATAATGCAAGAACGTAGGGGGAAAAAGGTAGGAAAATGTGACAATAAAGTGTGAACAAACAAAAATATGACCATAAGACCTGTCCTAGCCAAGCATGACTAGAGAAAAAGAGAACCACAAAAAAAAAAAAAATCCAGAAGAGAGGCGAGGATAAGTCCTAGAGTGTTTGATGTGATAGTCACTTAACTCATTACCAAAACCAAGTTCAATTTTAATAAAATTAGAATTGCGGTGTGTTTCAAACAACCAGACCAAGCAGTCTGAAGCCAAAAACTCTCCAACACTATTAATACAGCATTGTTTCTTCTTGGCAAATAGTCAACTAATATGATCAATAATGCAGGATTCGGATAAGTTTAAAATTTTCTCAACTGAAACAGTAAGCTCAAAATTAACATTTATAAATGGTTAAACACAATAAAATGACCCTAAAAATTCAATGATTTCCTCCTCAATGGAACCTTAGAACCAACAACTCCATGAATCAACCCACAATTCTGTCTCGCAGGAAATGAAACAAATATCCTAATTTGACTTTCTAGCCACAAAAATTCATGAGAAAGAGAAAGAGCAAACTTAGAAACCAACCTTAGCTTCTCCACAGGAAGACAGCCCAGATCAATATGGCATACAGGACAATAATCCACTTCATCATCTGCGAGCTTCTCATATACGCACTTCTTGCAGACTGGTTTCATTTTCAACATCCAATGTATCAGCAACAATTTCAGGAGCCAAAATTGTTTAAGAACGGGTGAGTCACTACAAGCAATGCCATCTATTTTCTTCAATATTGCAACTAGATACAGTACTCATAGCATGATTTAGTTACATAACTTAATAAACATAATAAATTACTCGCCAACCTGAAGACTTGAAGCCTAAACCAACACCATAATTGGTCTTACATAATTATACAAAACCAGTGAGTAGAAAGCTATATAATCTCAGCAATCTCCATAAATCAACCAAAAAAACCATAGAATTTGAACATCAAGATATCAACAAATTTGCAGATAAGAAAACCCCCCAAATAAAAAGAAAAAAATCTGAAACATGCATAAACTACAAAGAACCAATCATAAAAACAAAAATCTTACAAGTGTGAAGACACTTAGAGATCGTTGTAGCTTCATTAAATAACTTGTTACAAAGAGGGCATGTCATGCATGCTTCTAGTATCTCTCTCTTCACTTTCACCACCGCCCCCGCCATCTCTCTCGCTTATAAATTTATGTGAACTCGAAAGAATGAATCTTTATGAATAAATCATCTAATCACGAGTAATTACGACAAAAGGAGACGGATCTGGAGATGGGTTAGGAGAATAAGAGAGAAACCGACGTGGGGTTTGTTGGATTTTTGGACACAGAAAGAAGGTGAGGAGAAAAGGCATGAAAAGGGAGCTTGTTTATTGTTTTTTTGTATGAGGGAGCGTGTTTTAGTGTCGACAGAAACACACACTGATTTCGCATCCGTTTGAACACAACCAACTTGAGCTGAGTTTGAGTTTTGTTTTTAAGCAATTTTTTTCGTTATGGATAAAGTTTGCTTTTTGAAGCATGCTTTTAAACCTATTTATTTTTTATACTATTTTATTTCCGTTTAATTTTTGTATCCATTTTTGGAATATATAAGTGGCTTCTTTGCAAAGACATTAGACACATAAGTATTGTAATGGTTAATAACAAATATTATTTTATTATGAACTAGGATACGGGGCCTTTACCGGGTTGGGTTACCAATTTCGACTGTTCATGGCAAACCTTAAAGATGAGAACAACGATAGGCGAGCATTTGGTGGCTAGGATGTTGGGGGGTTTTGAAGAGGAAGAGCCGCTAAGTCAAAAGGTGGTGACGGAGTGATTTTTTATTAGTGAAATGACCGAAAATTGCAAAAGTCGCATGGCGACAACAGTGAGTTGTTGCCAGTGATTGGCGAGGCGAAGGGGGGTGGGGTAAGATAGGTTTTGGTCAGGCGACTGAGGGGAAAGTTTTCGCGGTGATGGGGTGTGTTGTTGACGTCGAAAATAGGCCTTGTTTGGCCTAGGTTGTCGACATCAACAATGTAATTTGAGGTGTTTTTGCAAGATTTTAAACCTATAAAGACTTATGTATAATTTGTCAAGAGTGTTTTTGCTAGATTTTAAACCTTTGGACATGCTAATGTTACCGGTTTGATCCATTGGTCAAACCAATTTAACTGGTCAACCTGAACCCGACCACTTTGTTGGGTTTTAAAGCCTTGATGTTTACCTCTTTACAACTTTCATGCCTTCACTCTAACAACTCTAGCACTTAAGTGACTCTAGCACTAGAGTCACTAAATTATTATTTTTTAATTATTCACCAAATTAGGGTTAGAAATTAAATATCAAAATTTCTTTTAAACTAGCAAATAAATAAATAAATTATATTTTATTAACAAAATTAAGAAATAAAATATAGTGTTTTTAAAAAGGAATCATAAATATATATAAGAGTTATTTTAATTTTCTAAAAATAAGAAATGGAAATTTTAATTATGTTACTCTATCACTAGAGTCAACTGGACTATAGCGACTCGAGCAGTAGAGTGATTATCCCTAGTTGCTAGAGTGAAGAGGGCAAAAGCGAAAAGAAATTGGATGAATGATATTATCACTAAGCCAATTAAAAAGAGGACAAGTTTCAATTTGACTCTTAAAAAAGGATTTTTTTTAATGTAATTATTTATTTTCATATATTTAATATGTACACCCTAATAAAATTCAATTCTCAAAAAAAAAAAAAATGCTAATTGATTATATTTATAAATAGGGACAGACCTAGAAATTAAATTTAGGGGTAAGTTCAAATTGAAATAATATAAAATATGAAATAAATAAATAAATGGATGGAGTCAAATCTTGAAACATTAATATAAATACTGTCCAACCAAATCAAATTAAAAAATAAATATATATTTTCTAAGTGGACAATGGAGTTATCAGCACTGTTTTAAAAATCGGATCGGACCGGCTGGTCCAATCGGTTGGACCGTGAACCGGTCACGTGTCCGGTTCGGTTCACTCTCAAAACCATTACTATGCATTGAACCTTTTAAACCGGTTAAAAACCGGATAATATCAGTAAACCGCCAGTCCAATCGGACCGACAGAAAAACCGGTCCACATATTAACAATCCCTAAATCCTAAACGCGACGCAGTCACGCTCACGCCCCTTTCTAGTCTTCTTCAATCTTCAGTTCTTCTCTTTCAATCTTTCTCCGTTTTTCTCACAAAAAATTCTAAGCAAACACTCTGTTCTCTGCGAAAATTGTCACGGTTTCGGCTCTGTCTTCTGTTCTTTCTGAAATCCCACCCAAATCTCATTTAAACTCTCTGAAATCGACGACGTCTTCCTCCCTCCTCGGAAATCGACGACGACAGCTCCGTTTCTTGCTGGAAATCGATGGCGACAGCTTCATTCGTTGACGATAGCTCCATTCCTCTATCCAGGTACTCCATTCCTCGCTCCCTTTACATTTAAGTTAACACCTTTTACATTTTTCAATCTAAAGGCAAACCATAGCTAAAAGGTGTAAAACTATCAGGTTTTTTAGTCTGAAATTGTTAGGGTTCTTGTGTGTTGAATGAGCAATTGATTTGGGGCTTTTTGCTGGGGTCTTTCTCGTTGTAATCTGGGCAGATTTGTGAGAGGGTTGCGTTTCCTTCTTGAGGCTAGGATAGGTCTCTGATTTCTTGCAGGTTATAGAGAGTTATTGAGTGATTAGGCTTGGGTTAAAGCATTGCTCTGATTCGGCAGATTGAGTGTGTAATTCTTGGTGTTTGATTTCTTTGAATCTTGTTTGTGTTGGATTGATTTATGTGTTGGATTGACAGGTTAATTAAAAATAAAAGTTTAAGAAAATTATTTTAAAAAGTGGCACAGGTTCAATCCAAGCGATTCTAGTTTTATTTGTGATCATGCACAGACGTTGTATTCGTGAAAAGAGGCATCAATATTGATTTAAGTTCTTGTCTATCCTGTGGTTTCCTTGTATCAAATAAAGTTTTTCGTTCCATAAACTCTTTAAACTAATTAGTGGTGAGTCAAACCGATCAGAGATAATATCGGATGTCATATGATTAGAATGTAGGGTTTTTCAAACCAACCAACGAATGAGTCTAATCGGTAAAAAATAGTGTCGAATGTAACCAGAACATCTTTGGATTGGATGAGAAATAATGTTGGGGCTTTCCACATAAACTAGAAATAAGCTTAATCTTAGATTTATAAAGGTGGGAGGCAAAATAATATTAACACATGATACAAACAAGGATGAAACTTGATTACATGCATCTATAAATTTTATTATAGTTCTCAACATTAGTGTATCTACGAGCAGAACTATATATTATATAATATTATGTCATATCATTTTTCAATGGATATATATTTGCAACCAATTAAAGCTTCATTTTTGGCCCATTTCAAATGGGAGTAGTTACTCATACATGAACTAATAAATTCAATTATTATAATAATAATAAAATATAATACTATAAATGATGGATATATATATGAGTGGCTTTCACACAGATGAAGAGGAATGGAATTCCATAGTATGATGGGAAAGGAAATTAAAAACAAAGCTGGTTGTGGATAAGCTTAATGCCTTTCCTGACTCACCTCAATCTTAAATTAATCCTCATAAATTTGGATGTTCAATCTATGGCATGTGGGGATGCTACCAACTCCAACTAATGATTGGATTTATTATTATAAATGTGAGAAACATTATAGGCAGCATTCAAATTTGTCATTTTTGTTTTTAGTATTACTCAAATTGGGGTGGGATCTGGTATCCATTGGACCATCTTCATTGGATTGAGCACACAGTCTGGATTAAACAGCTGAAGGTCCCTCTTTCTTATGGTCACTGCCCAATGTGTTCCATTGTGTTTTTGAAATGTGCTTGTGTTGACAAATTTAATGTGGAGTATGTTGTTCTTTCCAAAACCTTGAAAGCTTCTTGTAGGTATATCTCTTTGTGACAATAGATTTTATGGTATTTGTTTGTCTTTCTTCTCTTTTGGTGAGTCTTTCTTCTCTTTTGGTGAGTCTTCCTTTTTATGTGCTACTGAAACTTTAATTATTCATCTTGGAATTGAAATCTCTGTGATTTCATTGCCATGTTCTATTCTTGATTTTTTTTCTGTTATTTTTGGGACAATTCATGGTTTTTTACTATATTTCTTCTTCTTAGGTTTCATATTTTCTTTATGGGAGACTTTGAGTTGCATCGTTGATATGAAGTTCTTAGGAAAACTGATTGATTCAAATAACTTTCTATGATCAGCTCTTTGCTTCCCTAATAATTAAGCTCTAGTACTAGAGCATAAATGTGATGTTCTTAGAACTAGCTCATTAATGATTGCATCTTTGCTCTTTGGCTTTAGCTCATAAATCTGTTTGTTTTTACTATTTTACAAAATTCAAATGCAAACACAAATACATGATTATGTGATTCTTTTGTTTGCAATTTCATTGTGTGATAGGTAGATAAAGATTAAAAATAGACAATGGCAACATCTGGCTCTAGGTCTTCTTCACAATCTAGTAGAGGTAGGACTGATATAACATGGGCACATGTTATTGAGGTGTAGATCCAAATGGAAGAAAGACATTAAGATGTCTTCACTGTGGGAAAGTAACTAGAGGAGGAGGTATTTTTAGAATGAAACTACATCTAGCTGGAACAAAGGGGGATGTTGGTGCTTGTAAAAAAGTTCATTTTGATGTTCAATACTCCATGAGAGAATCACTAAAAGACATTGGGATAAAGAATAAAGAGAAGACTGATTTTAGTAAGTATAATACTCCCTACGGTGCTCCCGTGCATGGATTTGAAGGAGATATGTTAAATGAAGATAGTGAAGAGTTTCGTCCATCAGGAATTCACATAAATGAAGGTATGTTTGGTAGTAAAAAACAAAGTACAATGCTAGACAAATCAAAGAGAAACAAATCTATTGGGGTTGGTGACTATTTTGCTCCAGTGACAATTGGTGGATCTCAACCATCAATTAGGAGTTGTTTAGCTGGAAAAGATGCGACGTGGAGAGCAGACATGGCTTTTGGAAGATTCTTTTATGATGCTTGCATCCCAATTAATGCTGTAAATTCAATTTATCTTCAGCCTTTGGTGGATGCTATAGCCGCAATTGGGCCTGGGTATAAACACCCAAATTATCATGCTTTGCGTGTCAATTTGTTAAGAGACACTAAGAAGGAAGTACAGCTTCTTGTTGATAGTTACAGAAAGATTTGGGAAAATGTTGGATGTACCTTAATGGCTGATGGTTGGACTGATAATTCACATAGGTCATTGATCAATTTTATGGTGTATTGTCCTACGGGAGTTTGTTTTGTGAAATCAGTTGATGCTTCAGATGTTGTAAAGGATGCTGGGACATTGTTGAAGATGTTTGAGGAGGTAGCTTTATGGATTGGACCAAATAGTATTGTCCATTTTGTCTCAGACAATGGATCCAATTATAAAGCTGCTGGAAGAATATTGTCTGAGAAATATCCGAGTATTACTTGGTCACCCTGTGCAGCACATAGCATAAATTTGGTGTTAAAAGACATAGCTGAGATGGATCACATAGTTTATCTTGCGAGACGTGCTTCTGAGTGACGAAGTTTATATATAATCATACATTTTTGATAGCTTGGTTGAGGAAAAGACAGGTAATATACTTTTAGCTCATGTTCTTGTCAAGTCATAACATAATATGCATTTTTTATAATTAACTAACATCTATTATTTATCAATTAAACAGGGTTGGAAAGAAATTGTTCATCCGGGTGCAACCCGTTTTGCTACAACTTTCATTGCAATGAGAAGCATTCATGAGCACAAACATGACTTACAAGCCATGGTGACAGATAAGTCATTTGTCGATTCTCGATATGCAAAAAGTAATAAAGACAAACATCTTATTGACATAATTCTGGATAACGATTTTTGGGATGATATGGGTAAGATATCCAAAGTTGTGAGTCCATTGATGCGCTTGTTAAGGACTGTTGACTTAGATGAGAAGCAACCAATATGATATGTATATGATGACATGTACAGAGCGAAAAATGCAATTAAGAAGTTATTTAAGAATAAAAAGAGATTGTACAAGCCTTATACACGAATCATTAAGCTACGTTGGGATAGGACATTGCGTCGTGATATCCATGCTGCGGCTTATTATTTGAATCCTGCCTTTAAATATGACGAACAATCTTTTTGCCTCAAGCCAGAAGTCATGAGTGGTTTCCTTGATACTATTGACAGTAAAGCAAGTGCTTTCAATTTCAACAAGACAAGGTTAATGGAAGAGAGTAGATTATATTCAAATCGGGAGGAAAGCTTTTCTCGGGGCTTGCTCTTGAAACCGCCAAAACCACACATCCTGGTACGTAATAGTTATAAAATTTATAAATTCTTTTGTTTTTTAAGTCTAATTTATTTATTATGTTTAATTTTCAATTAGATGAATGGTGGAGATCATTTGGGTATAGTACTCCAAATTTGCAAAAGTTTGCAATAAAAATTCTTAGTCAAACTTCAAGCTCTTCGGGATGTGAACGAAATTGGAGTATTTTTGAGCGCATACATACTAAAAAGAGGAATAGATTGGAGCATCAAAGGTTGAATGATCTTGTTTTCATTCACTATAACTTGCGTTTGCAAAACAGGTATAAAACATTGTCAATTACTCAATTATGCATCACTCTTATTGTTATTAACTATTATTTTCCTTGATATTTTAGTTGTCATGCTTTTAATATTTCTTTATGGTATTTTAGGAAGTGTTACAAGAGAATAAGTTTGGATCCTATTGATTATGAAAGTATCGACAAAACTGAAGGTTGGATAGTTGACGATGAAGACGAGGAGGAGGTCAGTGAACTTAATTATGAGGAGTTGGAACAAATGTTATATGGAGAAGGATCTATTCCTATTGGAGTTGCTGATCACCCTTCTTTTTATAATTCAACCGATGGTTCAGAAGGTTGGTTTCAATTATTTAAGCAACTCAGTTTCTATTTAAATTAAATTACAAGTTTTAACTTATGATTTCTATTTTTTACTGAAATTTGCGTAGATGGTGGTGATGGTTATGATGATGATGATGGTGATGATGGTGATGAATTTTGATGCTAGTGTGTGAAGCTCAATCAACATAGAGACAGATCAAAGAAAAAACACTTGCATCAAATGTTTTGTTATTAATTATTATGTATTCATTGTTTTAAGAACCGAACCGGAGGGCAAACCACTCTGATGGTCGGGTCACGATTCAATCAGTCCAACCGGTTGGACCGTCGGTTGAACCAATGGTTTGACAGGTTTAAAATCTAACAAAAACACCCCTCATAATTACCATCAGACCCTATAAGTTTGAAATCTAGCAAACACAACCCTGGCTAAATGCAAATCGGCGATTGATTGGGAGAGCAGCAGCGACACACCAGGGAGGGTAGATCGGATGATCGAGAGGGCGAATCGGCAGCTAGCAAGTAGAGGCATCGCCGGAAAATGGCAAATCGATGGTGGAAGTCACTGGTCGCGGTTGCTTTTTTTGGTGAGATGATTAGATCTTCGTGAACGACGACAAGGGAGCTTGGGAGAAGGAAGATTGGTGGCTAAGGAAGCCTGTCGATGTCGAAGAAGGCCGATCGACGCTGGGAAATGGAAGAAAAATCTCGCGGCGAAGGTGGACGACGAAACGTCATGCGGCGGCTAGAGATGAAGCGTGACAACGCTGGAGAAAGTCAGAACTCAGAAGGTGGTTTCCGACAGTAAGGGAAGGTGGAAGGTCGCTGGAAAAGGGGCGGTCATTGCCGATTTGCATTTGGCCAGAGGGTGTGTTTGCTAGATTTGAAACCTTCAGGGACTGATGGTAATAATCAGGGGTGTGTTTGTTATATTTTAAACTTCAAATAGTTAAAAAGAATGACCCGACCCGGAGAAGGCCCCGAGTCCCGGTCCGGTACGGTTTTTAAAACAGTGTATGTATTTTGTCATTTGATATGTAAATACAACATCATGTTTGGATTTGGACTTTGAATTGTTATTAAATACTTAAATTATGTTAGGATTGTTGTTGAATTTGAACTTTGAATCATGTTGGACGATAATTAAGTTATTATTGTCTTATTGAAAAATAGAAATCTAAAAAAAAAAAATTGTTTTTTTTAAAATGTGTTGACGTCATCATGATGTGTGATGACGTCACCGGTCCAATCAGCGGTTCAACCAGTCCAGTTGGACCGGTTAAACCGTGACCTAACTATCAAAACGGTTTGCCCTCCGGTCCGGTTTTTAAAACAATGGTTATCAGCCCTCACTCATCTATATATGGGTTGGTCTTTATTTATAAGATTTTTTAAGTGTATTTATAAAATGAAAACAATGATTTGATTTTTTTTTCTTTATTTTCAAGATGGAAATGAAAATGATATAAGCGTATAATATTTTTAAGTGATTTTTAAGATTAGAATTATTAACGTGTGCCCTAATCATTAAAGTTATATGTATATAAAAAAATAGTTACTATATCAATAAATTACAAATTTTGTAAATATATTTAGCATGAAAGGATTTGGTGGAAGGTTAGTCTTACCCTTGTAAATTGTAATAACTTTAGACAATTATCACATAAAAAAAGATAATAATTTTATAGTATATTAAAGAAATATAAAAATTATTATTATATAGTTGGAAAAGTCGTGATGTGTTATAAGTGGTGGATTTTCATCAATTTGCCACATTTCAAGCAAAATGGCACATGACTCATGCACTCTCATTTAAAGACCTCTGTTCTAAAAACTAGCCTAGCCCGGTTGGTTTAATTGGCCGAGCCGAGAGTCGGAGCCTTGTTCGGGTCAAATGACTAATTTCTCATGTTCAAGCAAACCTAGATGGATGACGATGGACGAGCAGACGATGGCGAAGGTGATTTTCGGTGAGTAAAATGACCAAAAAATGCAAAAGTTGCGTGGCCACAACATTGGGCTGTTACCGACGATTAACAGAGCGACTATGAAAGGGGTGAGATGGGTTTTGGTCAGGAGGTTAAGGGGAGTGTTTTGGTGGTGGTAGGGGTGGTTGTCGACATCGAAAACAGGCCTATTTGGCTGAGGTCGACAATCGCGCAATGGAGGTGTTCTTTGGGAAAATCGTTCGATTTTGGCTACATGTTCAGGAGATTTTCTGGGGAATAGCTCAAAGGATGAGTGGGATTGCATTTGGTGTCACCATCGCCAACCAATCAACCGCCAATTTGCATTTGACCAGATCACAAAGAGTGTGTTTGCTGGATTTCAAACTTGCAAGATTGATAAGTATTTTTCAGAGGTGTGTTTGATAGATTTCAAACTACTATAAACACCAATCTGACCAATTGAACTGGTTAACCTGTGAATCGGCCCCTTGACCGGGTTTGAGAACCTTGTTAAAGACACATACACATTGATTTGCTAATGTGTAATTAGTTCTTGAGGCCAGTTTGTCGGCTAGCAATGGCTATAAATTTAGCCCATTTCTTGAGGGCGGTTTGTTGGTTGGCAATGTGTATAAATTCAGCCCATTTCTTGTATTCTATGTACACAACAACAATTGAGAAGAAAACAGTTAATAAAAACTCTCTCATTTCAGCCCTCTTTATTCTACTCTACTTTTTTTCAGTCATTTTTAGTTTATATTCTTGCAATTACACCAGCAAAATTATAACATGATGGTAATTATAATTGGATTGACAAAATTGTTGTGAGATGAATGAATTGGTTAGACAAAGGGTAGAATATAGTCTCCACAGGATGAGTCAAAATTGCAATTTGAAGAAATGAGCAAATGGTCCTGGGTTGGGTTAAATTTTGGATACAGACTTTGGTCTAGTTGGATTTTAATGTATGAGCCTCGGAAACCCAATATAAATTCCTATTAATATATTTGAAATTTTATACAGTACATTAAACTTCTAAATGCAAAATCTTATCCAACTATAGATCAGGTAAGCACAATATATTTTAGTACTCATGATATGTGACATGTCATTCCACAATCTGGACAGAAGAGACACGTGGAAAGCAATGAGCGGTTGTATAGACACAATCAAGGATATGAAATCTTTGGCTATAATCAAGTCCATCCAATTTCAGTGGTTGCATTTTATACCATTGTCTACATTAACTCTCCAAATCTTCACAATCTTGTATTTTGATTAATTTCTGCTGCTTAAATATTCTTTGATCCATTCACAAAAATGGCCACAATTACAACTACAAACTTGGCGGCATTGCTTCCTCCTGCAACTAAGGCCTTAAAAACGGCTGTTCATTCATCATCCGTCTATGGTGAGATCGATCTTTTATATATAATTCTTCAGAATCATTTTATATCAAATTAATCTATTTCATGTGCATTGTTTTTGCATGAATGTGATTTGGTTTGCAGGGCTGCCACTGCAAGCAAGGGCAAAAAAGGGACGTGTGAGGTGCGCTTTAGAGGAGAAGACAAGTGCTGCCTGCAATGCCGCCATGAGCTCAAAAACAAGCATGGCTGCATCATTGATGGCAACGGCGGCAGCAGCCGTGAGCACCGTCACAGGCCCAGCCATTGCGTTGGTGGATGAAAGAATGAGCACCGAAGGAACTGGCCTTCCTTTTGGACTAAGTAACAACAGTCTAGGGTGGATCCTTCTTGGTGTTTTAGGGTTGATTTGGTCTCTCTATTTTTTATACACCACTGGCCTTGATGAGGACGAGGATTCTGGATTGTCCCTTTAAAATAATGCTAAATTCCCTTATTTATTTATTTATCAGTTGTTCCATAATGCAAGTTATGAGCATTGGGATGTTAATATCAGTAAACAATGAACACTTTTTGTTATTCAAGAAATCACTTTTATTATTATTCTTGTTATTATTTCATTTCTGTTGGTTTTATTCATACATAATTCATCCCTCATATGAGATTATTCAACTGTTAATAAGGTCTTCACAGTTGACAAACTGGTAGTTGACCGAAAGTTGACCTTTGCCTTGGCCATTTCCATCAGTGTCCAGCTGCTTGAATGCGGCATCGTCCAACTGTAGGCCTCCGTTGCTGCATTCATCAACAATTCGCACAGTTGCCTCACCAGTTGTCCCCGTCCTCGTAATCTGCAAATATTAACGAAGCTTTAATAATTCCCTTCTATATTAATTCCCTTCTATTTTTACATGATTTTTTATCTTACCCTTAAGCACTTGCCACAAGCGGCCTGTCCACGAGGTCCAACAGGTCCACAGAAGGCCGCCCAGCCATACTTGCGGCGCCATTCCACACTATTATTTCCGTTCCATGGTGAGCAATAAGCGTTTGCAGCGGTCAAGTTCCATCCATTTTGCTCGGCATTGAAAGCGCGGAGTGTTGCTGTAACATTAGAGGCACTTTCATTGCGAGGAATGGGCAAAAAGCGTCCAACGTAGCTCCTACAATTGCTTTGACACTTGTTGAAAGGAGAACAATCGAAAGGAGTTATGCCACAGAACCCGTTTCTGCTGCAGCATTGGGAGCGGGGACAAGTCCGGCCATCGGCTTGCCTGCCACAACGCTGAAAGACAGCGGCTGTAGTACTAGCCAGCAAACAAAGAAACAACACAATGCAGAAGCTGAACTTGCTCATATTTTATATATGGGTATGTAATTTTATGTTTAATTTGGTTTGCGATGATTGATCAAGCTGATGAAGGGCTTGAATTTATAGGGAGCGAGTTGGGGTTACCGAATTTCATAAATGGAGAAGAGGGCTTAACATGTTCTTCACTTAATTTTGACTTCAGAGTTCTGGCCGGCCATGACTAATTTTTCATTATAGATTTCTTGGATTAATCAATTCTGAAGAAAGGTTGAGGTTTGGGTTTAGAGAAAAAAGGTCTTGCGTGCATGTTGTATGCTGAGAGATTTTAATATAATAAAGTATCTAAAGACTAAACACATTATAATTAATATATATGATAGAAAAAACTAAATATATACAATATGTCAATGTGATTATTGCAGTGAAGACTTTTCCCAGAGGAAAATATGATGTGTTATGTGCATGTGCATTTTCTGGTCATAAAAATTAAGAGTAAATGGCATGTTCCCACCCAAGGTTTGACGAAATTGTAAGTTTCTACCATTGGTTTCTTAAATTCTAGATTCTTACCCTCAAACCAATACCGTTAGTGATTTTTAGCCCCCAAATTAGTAAATTACTTTTTTTAATCCCCATATTAATAGAGGGTGCACTTAAGCAAGAGATGGCGCATGTTAGCAAATGTTGCCACCTGTTTTTTCCACTGTTTTCCAGCGACGATGGCTTTTCCCACTACCACCATCCTCTTCCCCGTGCCTCACACACCAAAACCTCTCTTGTCCCACCCTTGTCTACCACGCCAATTGGCGGATTTCGGCCGATTTGTGGCTCGTGAAACCATCACTCCATTTTGACTAAACCCGATCACCAAAATCCAATCTCTTACCACCCATAGACTCATCGGCCTCTTCTCTTTAAAAGCCTCAACATTCTTGACCGAATTAGCTCTCTAATCACCACCAACCTCTCTTGGGGTTTCTTTCACGATTTTGTGAGTTTGGGTTGAAATTAGAGTTCTTTTTTTTTTTTTAGTTGATTGGGTGAATTAGTAGTCTCTTTGGAGTGATTGATTGTTTAGGAGTGTTTTTGTGATGTTTGGGTGTCTTTTCTGGTCCATTGATTTTCTTATCATCGACGACTCACCATTTTCCTTCCCATCTGTGCACACCAGAAACTTGTGAAATTGCCCCAGCCAGCCCCCTACCAGTCTTAATGTAGTGAAAATGATTACTTTACCCTTTAACCATTATATTAAATGATTTTCTATTAATTTAAAGGTGGGAATCTGGAATTTTTGAAACCAAGGATGTAAACTTGCCATTTCGCTAAACCTTGGGTGGGAACAGTCATTTACTCAAAAATTAATATTGTATGAGCCTTTTTTTTTTTTTTTTTCTCTCAAAGGACACATAGTAGTGGTTAGAATTACATATTTATTTTTGTAAAAATATATTAACATTTATTGCATATGGTTATATAATTAAGGTGGGTTGAATTAATTTCAAATATTAGTTCATACATGAGCCATCAATATCTAACTATTTGGAAGTTGAATGATTTGTTCTAATTCATATTCAGGCCAAAGGTAAGAGACTGATTATAATAGTTGTTTCTCAACATTAACAAAACTTTTTTTTTTTTTTTTAAGGTATCTGAGATATTTAAACCTAAATTAGAGTCTGTCTAATTCTCAAGGCTCTAAAACACCTTACAAGCCCAATAGACTAAGGTAATTGCATAAATGTGATAGGTACCTCTCATGTGACTTGAACACAAAATCTCTTGAGTATAACTGACCCCAGTGTCTAAAGGGTTTGTCATCCAACCACAAAGAAATATTAATGTGGGCATTAGACAGTAACATTAATGGGTGCGTTTGGTTTATTATTTTGGATAAGATTTTGGGAATAATATTTGGTAGTTGAATAAGGGAGTATTACGAGGTAAAATTTAAAATTTTATAAAAAAAAAACCCCTAGGTTTGCTAATTTAATTAAACACCCTAACATATAAAATGACAAAAACACCCCCACCACCATCAGTGCCAGATTTCGGCCACCACCGTCGAAATCTGGCCAGAAAATTACGTTACGACACAGACTGGTTGGATCTGTGTTGTAACGTGTCGCTATGGCTTTTTCCGGCCATATCCACCACGGATCTAGTCAGAAAATGCCAGATTTACGGCTAGATGTGGTTGTCGATGGCCGAAAAATGCCAAAGAAGTCTATCTTTGGCCAAAGATATGACCGTCGTTTTCGGTCAACAATGGCCAAACTGACGGCCAGATCTGACCTTTTCTGGTCGAATCCATGGTGGATCTACCCGAAAAAGGTCAGATCGGTGAACTACCGGCCAGTTCTGGTTGTGGTGTAGGTCGTCGTACAGATTCCGGCTACCACCGATGGTGGTTGCTAGAATCTGGCAAGTCTGCGTTGATGGGGGTGTTTTTGTTAATTTTTAAACTTTTTTCTGGGGTATTTAATGAAATTAATAAACTTAAGAGGACTAAAAATAATTAAAAAAATATAGTAATATTTCTGGAATAATGTACTAAACAATATTTGGAGAATAGAATTAAAAATATAGGTAGAAATAGGGAGCCAAACGCACCCAATGAAACTTTCGATAATCTTTTCATAAAAAAGTACAAGACACACCCTAAATTTCAAATTGAAGTTGACATTAGTGGCATTTCGGGCCTAATTAATTAATTGGTTGATAATTTTTATGTATAGACTCATGTAACTACAAATTATGTGGGAAAACATAATTAGTAATAGCAGGCCATTGGGCCGAACCTATATGTAATATCTTCAACTGAAGATATTATTTAAACCCCATTAAAATTCTTTGGAAGCCGCATGTTAAACAAAATACATTAATTAAAATTATACTTATAATCATATTACAAAACTAGCCTTATCTTCTTCTTCTCTCAATATGAATTAATTAACCTTCAAATAAAATCTATGGAATATGAATCAATTAATCTTCGAATAAAATCTATGGAGTTTCAAATAAAATTGGGCACAATTATAAACAAAAAATTAGAACAAACGAACGTAAAAAATGTTAATCTATAAAATTTGAAATAACATGGCCACTCAATTTGTTCTTCTATTTATTTTGAGTGTTTTGCATACTAGCTATAATTCCCAGAACATAAAACCCAATGAAAGCAAACCTTTCAATCTCTCTCTTCTTTTTTTTTTTTTTAATGACCGGGGGTGTTCAGGTTGGATTGTATGCACTTCAACTAATCTCCTGAGACCATAAAATTCCCGGTTGGATAAAAGTTCTAGTGACTACCCCTATTAATTAACAATCGAAATGAATTAAACTCATGACCTCTTAATAATACATCCAAGAGTTCTAGTTGCTACTCGACCACCTAGTGATAGTTATCATTTCAATCTTGTATCCAGTTAGTTTCAAATGGCATACTATATTAATCTTTTTAGGGGATATTTGTCTAATCTTATAAACTAGTCAAACTAGCTTATAAGCTCTAAAATTAAGCTGACTTGTTTGCTTATAGCTTTTTTGAGTTTATAAATGTTTTTTTTTTTTTTTTTTGCTTATACTGTTTGCAAATATTTACTACGTTATCCTTATTTAATTTTAAAATTTCATAGTATCATTTGTTTAATGTAGTACACTTTTGAGTCATTTTAATAAACTGTACTTATAAGCCATATTTTACTAAACACATTAACTACTTATCGTCACTTATAAGTACTTTATCAAACATGTAATTGTTTAAAAATTTCAAATGCCTAAAATTAGCTTATAAGCACTTGTTAATTTTCATAAGCTCAGACAAACACTGCATTTTATACGAACTCAGGGATAATCATTCAGTAGCTTCTGTTAACCTTTTGTTCTGCACCAAATGTCTCAAGTGTTTGCTTGGCTTCTTTGTTGCGCAAAAAGCAATCATATAGCGACACATAAAATATAGCATAATTAATAGCAGGTTAATTAATCAATTAATTATATAGCAACGTACAACAATTTTTTATTTTTAATTTGGGTCGTTGTTTTGTTTACTGCATCAGTTTTAATTTGATTCGGGCTGCATTAAATAATGTTTAGAATAATTAGATATCAGCTCTTTCAAAACGTACGAGTGTTCATACTGGTGTAAGATTGATATATAGTACTAGTATATAGATGCCAGAAAGAAATGTTACACATGGTTTGCAGCTATATATATAATTATGTATATATAAACATATAATAATAATAATATATGTAAGATTAATGTTACATTTGTGTTTCTTGTGACAAACTCTCTCATAAGAAAGATAGTGATATCAATAAGTTTTTGTTTTTGATTTTTCACAGTGTCCTTTGTTTTGAGTTCTCATTGTAAGGATTCATAAACATAATTTTAGATCTGTTTGTTTGGCAATGAACGTTAAAGATTAATATACTAATAATTTATTTTTGAATTAGAAGTTTGTAGAGCATCACGTTTTGTACCATCACAAATAAGATATTTTTAACAGTTCAATTAACTATAACTTAAACAATTAACCAAGTCTCAAGTTTACCTTATTTTTTAGGCTCTTTTGTTCATTTAACATACAAGCAATTATAAATCACATCTTTTAACATTTCAGTCAATAGTTCTACGATAACTCTGGAGTGGACAATTCCCTTTTGGCCTGAAGATTATTTACGATATGAACTTTACGATTAAAGTCGAAGATCTCACTATTTCCTATTTGTGTTTATTTCAATTCAATCTTGTAATGGGTACTATATAAATCTGATTATAATCTGTTTTAGGAAAGCCTCGAGAGAATCCTAGAGAGGGAATTTGAGATAAAGACTTGAGAAATTAAACAGAAAACTCGAGAGGCAAAAACTCATTGAGATAACTCTTTGTAACTCAGAGTAACTCACCTATACGCACATTAAGTAAATACGATTTGTTAATAATTTTCATTTTACAAAAAAAAAAAAAATAATAATAATAATAATAACTATATAGGTGGAAAGTAACTTATTATGAAAGATGAAAGAAGAATTATATTAATAAATACATAACATGAATTCAATATATTATAATATGAATGATAAGAAACAGTAGTCAGAAAAAAAAAATTCAAAATGAAATGATTTAAACAGATATTTTGTTCGATAATACCTCAAAACAATTAATCGAAATACTGATTAATATGTAATGGATTTAGCATTACTTAGAAATGACTCTTTAATGAACCTAGTTAAGTCATAAAACTTTCAAAACTTATCAAGATATGATATGGTAGTCTTTTCTAAGATATATATATATATCCTCTGGATTAATGAAAATAGCCGTGACTGCCAATTAATTATAAGGCGTGACAATTTGAAAGGATTTGAATATATATATATATGCTCATCCTCATGTAAGAATATGTAAGAATATTTTTTCTTATAAATGTCATTGTTCAATTGCTTAATTTCGAAATGTTCAAAGGGGTTTAATGGTTTTTCCTAACATAAGTTTTATGAATTATTTTATGGTGTTTGTGACACCTAACAGAGAGGAAATTAACCTTACCTCCTCAATGAAATTCTGATTTGATATTTATGTCTAAGTTACTCGTATTAGGTAAATTTTGATTCGATATTTAAGTCTAAGTTACCGGTATTAGTTGAGATTTCTAGATCTATCAATTCCCAAAATAATAATAATAATAATGTAAGATAAAATAGAAAAGCAAAAACGTGATTAACGAATGAATGAAGACTAATTTTTTATTCAATAATTTTTGTGAACTGACAATATATTATAACTTTGAGGCTTTGACAGTGAAACTAAATGTTGACTGTTAGATGAATTATACCTAACCTAAAGATATGGGTGGAGAAAGAAGGTAATTTCACTAATTTAATACCTATTAATTTTTTTTTTTTTATTTTCATTTAACTTAATAATACTTTCATAAAGAGGAACTCCGTTAATTATTAGGTAGATATAGAAAGCAATCCCCCTCAATTAATGGTGTATTTTAGACTCTATTAATACTGTTCTAAAGTATTTAATTTACTTGTCATGCATGTTATAAATTTCGACTGAAATGGAAACCAACTGATTTCCACTATAATACAGACAATTTTTTCCAACCTGATTAAAATAATCAAGAACAATAAATCATTGAACTTTATGCAAATGACAAAGAGTAATGTTACGTCAACAATCATTTTCATAAACTTTTTTTACAATTTCCGATGTAACAACTAATTGGCGTTGTCATGTCAAAATAATTTTAACTAGATCAAAAAAACAGTTGTTCCTTCATTCGTTCTTTATGAAGAAATAGTAGTTCTTCACGGAAGGAATAACTGCTCCTTATAAAAGAACAATTAAAGAAATGATCGTTATAAATAAGGAACAATTATTCTTAATGGAGGGAATAATTATTCTTTATTAAGGAACGATCGTTCCTTCATAAATAACAACTATTCTTTATAAAGGAACAACTATTCGTTTTTAGTAGTATCTTTGGTGTCTTGGTTGTAGTTGGAGTTGATATGAGACAGTGAATTTAGTGACACGTTAAGATTATAAAAGAAGATTATGAAGTTAAGATTATAAAAGACGATTATGAAATTAAGTTGTAAATATAATATTTTACATTTGACTACAGGTTCAAAGACTTTAAATTAAAATATTTATACCCCACCGACCTGCTTCCTACGATTTTGACCTCTTCTTCACGTGCTAGCGGAAACTTCCTCCCAATGGGATGCTAACCAGAGAACAGAGATTTTCTTTATTGACTCAATAAAGAGCAAGGTCTTTACTATTAACATGGTCTTATTTACAATATACTTATTCAATTAAATCTTAGTATATAATTTTTTTTTTTTTTTAATCTATGTTCTTCATAAACATAATTGATTATTTTTAGTATAAACAGCTATACAAATATAAATATGTTATTATTAATAGGATATATAAATAATAGATCACAAATAGACAAAAAAAAAAAAAATTGATCATATCCATGCCTTTTTTTTATAAATAAAGAATATTAAAATAATCATAATTTTTATTTATTTATGATATTAACATGTGCTTTTAAGTGCACACGTTAAAACAACTATAAATAATATGATATACAGTACACCTACTACATAATATATGAAATTCTTGAATTTAACCATCTTTATAATATTAGAAGATGAATTGACCAATTCATAAAAGGAAGTCAATCGGGGAGATCCTATGTTAACGCGGTGAGAGAGTCATGAATTTCTCTTTTCTTTTCTTTTGAAAAAGAAAAAAGAAAAATATATACATATATCATCCAACTAATATATACACAAGTCCATGTACAAGAAGCTATTAGCCTATTACCATGCTCGCGGCGCTGTGAGAAAGAAAATTCGGTGGTTTCAAAACGTAACGCAAATGCAAAAGGCCGGAGACTACGTAATGGCAACTCCAAATTGAATGGAAGATGTCAAACCAATGAATTACAAGGAAACCCCATGGAAATTATCTAATCTTTCAAGACAAGTAACACCTAATCCAATATTTATTTATATCTCCATCCAACATTCTTCTATTCAACTCTTTCTTTAGCTTTACATCACTAAAAACTTCTCAACCCCCACCGCCACCGGAAGACCAAAAATGTCCGTCAGACAAAGGCCTACAGCCTCCTCCCAGCAGCCTTCCACCTCCGTTGCAGAAGCCTCAACAAGCTCAGGCTCAAACGCCATCGCAAACAACGAGCCCGAAACCCCGAAATCGCCTTCAAGACCACTTTCTCTATCCCAACGAGCAATCTCTCAAACCCTAACCACCACAGCTAATTTAGCCAACCTTCTCCCCACAGGCACCCTACTCGCCTTTCAGCTTCTCACACCGATTTTCACCAACAATGGCGCGTGTGACAACGCCACACGCCCGATGACGCTCTTCCTCCTCCTCCTCCTCGCCGCCTCCTGCTTCCTCGCGTCCTTCACAGACAGCGTCAAGTCATCGGACGGGCAAGTCTACTATGGACTCGCCACGTCCAAAGGGCTGTTCTTGTTCGATTATCCAGATCCTTCAGGATCGGGGCTCCCGGATTTGAGCAAGTATAAATTCAGGTTCATTGATGGAGTTCATGCAGTTTTGTCCGTGCTTGTTTTCGGCGCCTTCGCTTTGAGGGACAAGAATGTGTTGAGCTGCTTTTTTCCGACGCCGGGGCGTGAAATTCAGGAGGTTTTGAACATTCTTCCGATGGGAGTCGGGTTGATTTGCGGCTTGTTGTTCGTGGTTTTCCCCACCAGGAGACATGGAATTGGGTATCCGATCACGGCAGACAAATAATTAATTAATTTTCCATTAATTAGTTGTTTAATTTCTTCAATTCTTTTTGAGTTGTGATTATTGTTAATTAATTAACCTCCTTGATTATTAGATGGGAGAAGACTTTGTAATTAAGAAAATTAATTAATCGTTTGTTTTGGCAACGTTTTTAGGTTTAAAAAAAGCATTTCATCTTTTTAGAAAGCATATACGCTTGGTTCTCTGGCCGAGTGTATATACACTAAAACCCCTCTATAGTGAAACTCTATATAAGAATAAACTCTAAATAGTTATGAAAAATTTTATTCTCAACTTGGGATAGTTATAAATAAAAATAAACTCCTTATTGTAATAAGTTATAATTTGTCTAATTCCAGTCTTAAGGAAAGTTGTCTCTACATAGTAATAATTATGTGTATACTGCAAAAAAAAAATATATATATATTATTTGGTACATTAAAGATTTAAGATGAAATAAAATATTTATCTAAAGTTATTTGGAAATTGGAAGAATGATTTATGCTTTAGAGTTGTTACCACGTCTTTTAACTTGCGGATACATTACTCGCTAGCATAGACATTTTCTTGTTGAAGCCAAAATATTTATAGCTTCTCAAGCATGTTTGGAGTTTCTTGACAAGAAACTTTTTGTATTTCTGTACTATCATCCTTATGATTATTTCCTTCTCTTCTTGTGTAATTGTAGCAATGATTTCTTCTTCAATTAAAGCATACACAACTTGTTGCTCATTTGAATAATTGAGGAAGACATTAATATCCATTCGATTAGTATAGTGAAATTGTCAAATCTGATCACTCAATTCTACAAAGACTCTTTGATTTTTCTCATCCACTTTATTTATAACTTGCAATTCATCGACATCAAGGGTCCTAAATTTATAATGCTTAAAACAATTGGTAATTGTTTGTGGCTTCACATCAATTTAACCATGCAGCAACTGTATTTACAATTCATCAAGGACACTTATTTTTTATGGTTGTAAGACACGATCTTTTATTCGTTTAAAAAGTAGGTAATTGAAGCGCTGAATTGAAATCTTAATACTATTAAAACATGAATTGAAATCATAATACTATACTACTAAAACATGAATTATAAAATTAGAAATTTTTATAATTACACCTCTATTAAATTATAACATCCTCATAATAATAAAATTAATTAGTCCCACCATTATGACTATAGAGAGGTTTTACTGTATTATTTTTTTTCTGGTATTTAATATTTTGATCTTGATTAATGGTTCTTAATTATAATTAATTATGTCCACTAGTAATGTGGCTAACTGCTGAGGAGAGAATAAATTATTTATTGAAAAGTCAACTAATCATATTAAAAAAAATGATATTGTTTGCTTTTGACACTACAAGGTCTCACACTTTTCTTTATGAGCTTCAGGCCCAAAACACGTCATGTTGGGTTAAGGCCTATAACCCCATATATATACACACCCCCTCTCACACGTAGGCCTGCAATTGAATCGAGCTGTTCACGAACAGTTTGAGCTCGGCTAGGTTGAAGTTCGTATTCGGTTCAAAATTTGTCGAATTGAACTTGAACTAGAACAATTCGAGTAATTTTTAAATTGAGTATCGAACATGGTAGTACTCGGCTTGAAAGTTCACGAACAGTTGAAAATTTGTGAATAGTTAATGAGTTTTCGAGCTCTTAGGCTCACGAACAGTTCAAGCTCGGCGGGACATTGAACGAGCATTTGAGCTCTAAAGTTCGCGAGCCTTAACGAGCTTTCGAGCTCTGAGGCTCGCGAACAGTGAAATACATATTGATTATTTATATTAATTATATATTTATATATATTAGTTGCCCCTTCAAGATTATTTCAAAAACTTTGATATTCATTTTAAAAAATTTACCCTAATTTTAAATAATACTGAAAAATACCATTGATTTGTCCGAAATTTTTTAAAAATTTTCATTAGTCCATTACATATTTATTCATTATAATTTACAAATATAGAAAATTATAATAATAATACTTATTAACTTTAGACTTTAGCTATGTTATGTACATTAAGGAGAAAATAATTACATATATATATGACGTACAATTGTACATATATTCTCAGTACTCATTCCTTAAGCATATGTATATAAAAATTCTTACCTATAATAACGAACCTGTAAAATAGATCTATTCATAATTCATAAAGAGATTCGTTATTCCTGATCTTGTTTCATCTTAATTGTTGAGTGGCATTTCACCTGTAACCACAACTTGTCCACTGATTTTTCAACATTAGTTGGGACTCGGTTTAATCACATCTTGCTTCATCTTAATTGTTGAGTGCTTGATAAAAATGTTAGACATTCAGGTCACATGTTCATTTTTTTTTTTTTTTTTTTATATAGGATTCCATAAATGTGTAGCATAAATGGGTTTAATTTATTAAAATGTAAATCAAATTCAAGCAAGTCAAATAATAATTTTAAATTGGGGTCTCTGAAATTCTGATTGCTTTTTGATTGGATATAATTAAATTACATGTAGTTCTCATTTATATTACAAATCACTATAATTTTGTGAGTTGTATAGTTTTTAAATGAACGTAACAGTTTGCTTGGTTTAATTGATTCATAATGAGATGGATGAAAACTCGAATATTGCCATTTCATTTGGTTTTTGGTGGATAAATGGTAGGATCTTGCCAATAATAGTATTTAATTGTTGCAGGTTGAGGGGCAAACCGATGACGTTATTTTTAACCATTTGCAATTGCATGCAACTACCTTCTAGTTATACACTCCTTTAGATGAGACAACTGATAAAGTTTAATTATTTTTGTGGTACTGAGACATCTGATTTTGATATACACATGGAGGAGGGGAATACAATCGAAGTTCTACATGATGTAGGAAGTTTTACTTGTATAGTTGTGTAACTTGTGTTGTATAAATTTGATCTGAGATGGCTACTAGGAGCAATTTTCAGCTTGTTTATAGTGCTACTGAGTACTTGGTTAACATTGTTTTGTTTTGTTTGATGATGCAATTGCAATCAAGTTCTATAATTTGATTTTAAATTTGATCATGCATTCTAGAACTTTGGAGAAATGGAAGTTTGATTTTAAAACTGAATGTGAATAAACTGATGCAATTACAGGTTGAGATGGAATAAGAATTCAAGCTCGAATTTGAACTTTGATGCGAGCACAAATTCGAGCTCCTCCTCAAACTCTAATTTGAGCCTCAGCTCGAACTCGAACATGGCTCTGATAACAAACGAACCGAACTCAAACACCCATCAATTTACCGAACTCAAATACGAACATGGTTTTCCTAGGCTCGACGAATTCAAACTCGAACTCGAACTCTATCAAATTTTCACGAACCAAACTCAAATTCGATGGTATTCAGTTCAGTTTGGCTCGTTTGCAGGCCTACTCACACGTAGAGATGGCAATGGGCCCACTATTTCCAGGTACCCAGCCCGTCTCGTTCCGAAAAGGTTGGGCTTTACCCAGTGTTAGCAGGTTTGGGCTTAGGCCTGGGACTGATTTTAAGGCCCGCCCTCCAGTACGGATCGGGCATGGGTATGCCTTCAGTCTTGGCCCAGCCCGGCCCGACCCAACAATTTTACCATTAATTTTACTAAATTACCCTTATACTATATATCTAATTACAGAATTATCCTACATATGTATAAAAAAAAATTGAAATTTATTAATATTTGGTGAATATTCAAAAATAAATTAATATTTAAAAACTATTTCTAGAATTAAAAATGTGAAAAAATTGAAATTTATTAATATTTAAAAATTCACATTATAAAAATAGGTGGGCTTGGGTTGGGATTGAGATTGAGATTACAAAAAGCCCATTAGGCCAGGCTTGGGCTTTACCTGTCATCCCCGTGAGGGACCCGGGTCGAGACTGTGCCTTTATCATGGAGTCGGGCTTGGGCTCAGGCTAATGGGTACCCGATCACGACCTAGCTCATTGCCATCTCTATTCACACAGAGAGATTTAGGACTTCACAACACATCCCTCTATTGTGATAGTGTTGATAACAAGTTATAAATTACCCAACATGATATTGTCCACTTTGGCACTACAGAGTCTCACGATTTTATTTATGGGCTTCAGACCCAAAACGCGTCATGTTGGGTTAAGGCCTATAGCCGCATATATACATGCACCCCTCTCACACAGAGTGATGTGGGACTTCACAACACCCAATAATATTTTTATTTTATATAAAAAAAAAAAAATAGAAGACCAACAACTCTTAACTTCGCGTAACTGTCTAGTTTCTAAATGTGCAAAACCTAATATGAATAGATAAATTTTGAGATAATATTAGAGATTAAAAAGAAAAAAGAGTAAAAAAAAAGTCTTAAAGTTTTAGCTCACGCAGTCTTCTTTGTGAGTTATAATTACCAAGATTATTTTTTCACTCTTAATCCACTGGTTTAAGAGTTGATAAGGTAACAAAGATCAATCTTATGTGGATGTGTGTATATATATATATATAAGTACCCGTTTTGCCAGGTCTAGCGGCAGTCATATAGTGGCGGATAGATCCAGGTGCTAGAATTTGGCCAAGAGGCTGGCATAAAATTTGATTTAGGCGATGGAGTTATTTGGAATGAAAAAAAAAAAAAAAAATTTGACGTCTACTGGATTTTGGAGTTGTTTGGAATGAATGTAGATTCACAAGTTAATGTCCGTTGGATAAGTTAGATGATGCTCATGTCATGTAGTGTAACACGGCGAATCAATAAAGACTAAAGAGTGCGTGAGATAGTTTTGTATTGAATTGAAAGAAATTAATGAAAAAAAAAAAAAATTGCATGGCATAAAATGGCACAAGGGTATTTTCGAGATTTTGTATTTATATAAGGTTAAAATTGTCTTACAATGATTGGTTGTTATTTAGAAGGGTATAATTGTCATTTATTCACTTTATCATATTTTCTAATTGAAAAATCAAACATTTAGTTAAAAATGGGGGTTACCCTGCTATTTTCCATAGTTGTGGGTGGCATGGAAATTTGGAAGAACTGTGGGGGTTTACTAAATCTCCCAATTTTAAAATTTATTAAAAAAATTGCTTTCGAAAGTATAAAAGAAGAAATTAACTTGTCAGGTTTTAGGTAATTAATTAAGTTTGAGCAATTTTAAAAAATTTCTAAATGAAAGGTGTTCTAGGATCCAATAGGAAATTAACAAACTTCTAATAGTTTGGTCATCAGTCATCTTGACATGAATCTGTTATTAATAATGTTTTGCTTACTAGGGGTGTTCAAAAGAACCGATTGGAACTGGAACCATCAGGTACTCGGGGTTTGGTTCCGGTTCCTACCCGAAACCGGTCGTCAACGTATAGGTTCCGGTTCCAAATTTTTGGAACCGTTATTGTGCGATTCCGGTTCCTATAGTTAGGAACCAGAACCGAGAACCAAGACCAATATAGAATAAAATTAAAGAGTAGGGGGGTTAGTAAAAACTTTTGTAGAAAAAGTAATGTGAATACATTTATATTTATATTTCATAACATTTAAAGTAAGTTGGTTTGATTTTTGAGAATCTACCTTTACAAAGTAATGGAGTTTGTAATTTTGAATTTATAATTTTTAATATTATTTTTGTTAACAAGTGTCAGGTGCGAGGGTATTTGTAAGTTTTTAAGGTTTTTTTTTTTTGCCATTTTAAAAACCTTTGGGGGGGATATGTAATTTTACAAGATACCCAGAACAAGAACGGGAACCGGAACTATTGTTATAGGTTTCGGTTCTGGGTACCTAGGAACCAGAACCGTCAGTTTCGGTTCAGGTTCCAAATTTCAAGGAACCGTCGGTTCCGATTCCGGTTTCAGTTCTTTCAAAAAATGTAGGATACTCGAACCGAACACCCCTATTGCTTACAACTGAGTCACACAATAAAACAAAAATTGCACAAATTTCATGTAAAATGACTATTATGTCCTTTGTTTTTTGCCTGATTGTATGACTCGATTATGTGACTCAGTTGTAAGTATAGTATTGTTCATCTCTTATAAATTTGTCAATTTCTTTATCAAGAATGGTGGAGCTTGTTAGAAAATTGTCAAATTGTGGGCTAACAATAATTATGATTTGGTTTGATAAAACCGGATAAATACATAGTCTAATAAGATATCCTAATGGGCTTAAATGATTGTTTTAGAACTTACCCAATACACTTCATTTTATATAGTCTGCATTGACGATAAGTGTGGGCTTAAGCCTGTAATAGACTTCAGAGTTTATTGGACCTTTAATGAGAGGGCCCAATAAATTGATATAAATTGGCTAGATCTCATTTCCAAAACGCAATCTTACATTGAACTCCATTTGAAAGTCGTCATTTTGGAGCGTTTTTTGAAAAGAAGACCGGTCACTACTTGCAAGAAATTCAGAAGTCATGGCAAAATCAGATTTTTCTAATCCTTAATCTTTAAATTTATTATTCTATAATCAATATGTTAATCTTGGGATTAATTGTTAGAATTGAGTGGAATTCATGTAAGAATTCCTACGGAGCTCAGTTAGCTATTAGCTAAAACAATCTCTTGTCCAAAACAGAAAAAAGACATTCTCAGCTTTCTCCCAAAGGCCCAGAACATTAATTATCTGTTTGTTCATCATCAGCCATTTTCTCTGGAGACAAAATCTTGTTTCTGTCTTTGTTTGCCAATTGCATGCAAGAGTATGATTGATTGAAAAAAGAGAGAAAGATCCATTTCATCCCATGTATGACTTGAACCAATTTATTTAGTTGATTTTACCTGGAATCTATAGAAATACAAGTAAGCAATTTTAGCTATTCAAGAAGCACTTATTTTTTAAGCATGCAACCATTCTGGCCCACCACCCATGGAGACTGAAGCTTTCAGTCTCCACAATTCACAAACTGGTAGTTGACAATAAGATGACCCTGTGCATTTCCTCTTCCATCTGTGTCTAATTGTTTAAACACGGCTGCATCCAAATCTAATCCTCCATTGCTGCACTGATCAACGATTCTCACTGTGGCTTGTGCCCCTGTTCCACTATTCGTCACCTGCAAAATTAACCCTTGTCAGATTCTTATCTTACTAGACCTAAACCCTTCTCCAACCTTTTTGTGGGCATGTAGATTGCATCCTTAGCAATGAAGAACATAAAGCCTTTGTGTTATTTCTGGAAAAACTAAAAGTGTTTTTACATAAAAGAGATTTCATGTTATAAATCTTACCCTTAAGCACTTGCCACAAGAGGCTTGTCCACGAGGCCCAGCCGGTCCACAAAAAGCAGTCCATCCATATTTTTGGCGCCATGCCAATGGTTTGTTGGCATCCCATGTTGAGCAATAAGCACTTACAGCCATCAAATCCCATCCATTCTGCTGAGGGTTGTAGAAATGGTAAGTAGCTCTCACATTAGAAGCACTTTCACCACCACCACCACTGCTGCCGCCACCACCGCTGCCACTAGACTTACAATTACTTTGACAACTTTGGGCAGGTGAACAATATGCATCAGTTGATCCACAGTAACCATATTGGCTACAACAAAGATTGTTGGCACAAGTTTTGCCGCCAGCTTGCCGCCCACATTGCTGGGCAGCGGCTGTGGTAACCATTATAGCTAAAAACACTAAACACAGGCTGCTAAAACTCCTCATTTTCTGTGCTGCATGAAGATGGGTGCTCGGTGAGCTTCGATTTATAGGCCAAATGCATATGTGTCGACTGCCCTTACTTCAAAGGTAACATAATTAATTAGTGTTTAATTTTGACTTTTGACTTTAGACTTTACTAAGTTCCATGTTGATCTTTCTTAGTACTGTAAATGTTGACGATCAAGATTTTCGTATTATGAATAAAACTTGCTCACAATTGCAGGTTGATCTTAATCTTATCGTGTATTAATTCCTAGACGTTGGATGAACTCATCGTTAATGAAATATTGATATTACAGGAGGTGAGAGAAATAAATGCTTCATTAAATTAAAGGATCAATAATTCAATATAGGCAACTGCATCATTTGCTGGTTTATGGTCACGGCCGCCTGGTTATCAATTACCCAAAAAAATAAAAAAAATTGTTGGGTTATGTTATTTAGTTGCCTTTATAAGCCCAAGACTCAACTCATAGTTATCCTGTGTGATCACAATATTATGCATCTACCAACATTAATGTACAATTAATCATACGCGTCTAAGATTTTGTATTTTTTGCTATTAAAATCAAGGTTTTAAAACCCAGCTCGGGGTAAACCTGGTAAAGTGGCCAGGTCTTGAGTTGATCGGTTGAATCGATTTGACCGGCGGGTCAAATCGATGACGTTAGTATATAAAAAGTTTAAAATCTAGCAAAAATACCCCTAAAAATCACACATAAATCCATACATGTTTGCAATCTTATAAAAACACCCCAAACTACACTGCCGACATCAACAACTCAGGCCAAATAGAGCCTGTTTCCAATGTCAACAACACACCCATCACCACGAAAACTCTCCCCTCAGCCTCCTGACCAAAACCCATCTCATCCCACCCTCGTTCGCCTCACCAATCGCTGGCAACAAAACGCTATTGTCACCAATTTATTTTTGCAATTTTTGGTCTCTTCACTCACCGGAAATCACATCTATTGCCACCTTTTGACTCATTGGCCCTTCCTCTTCAAAACCCCCAACATCCCAGCCACCAACTATTTGCGGATCGTCATCCTAGTTCTTAGAGTTTGCCATGAACAGTAAAATTGGTAACCCGACCCAATGAAGGCCCCGGGCGGCTAAACTGGTTGGGCCGAGTTTAAAACACTAATTAAAAGACAAAAAATTTACAAGAAAAAATTATTTAATAGTCTAATGAATATAAGAGGAAAGCGATTTTTTTTTTTTTTTTGGTTATCTCATCAACTCGTAAACCATTGGATTATATTAGATTAACCGATCAAAAATTTAGGTAAGAAATTTAAGTCAAAAGGATCCCATCCCTATAATTAAAATAGGATAAAATTAGGGGGACACATTCTTAATAACATAAAACGTTACATTTATAACATAAAACAACAACATGACATATGAAGTCAAACTGATAATGAATTAATGATACAATATTAAATATATAATAAAATAAATAAAGATTATAGGTAGATGAGTTTGGGAAAGATATATAATGTTTAAGTTCCATAAAACCTGTCTCACCACATTAACATTATAATAGCAAAATATAAACTTATTCATTGAAACGATGGGCAACGTGCGTGGAAGAGATAAGAAAGAATCATCTACTGTTTATATAGATATTGGAATTAAAAGATGTTGGAATTTCTACGCAATCAATGTGTTGAAAATTCAAAAAGTAAAACTTACACTAGGACTAAATGGGCATTAATTAATTGTAGGAGTCCATATCCATTTAGCTCATGACTAGGTTTCGTGATGGCGTAATTAATCAGTTAAGGAGTTATATTCATTTCATAGTCATAAAGATGATAACGTCTTGTTGACTTAATATTGTGAGGCGATGAACCGTTCAAGTATGTCGCGTAAAATCAAATGCGAAATGATAAGTAAACCACTTTTTTCGACCCAAGGTTTGCCTCAATGACACTTTTCTCCTAACAAAATTTTCAAAATGCCACCCAAAGTTTATATTTCATTACTATCCAAAGTCGATTTTGACCAATTCCAGTAGTGAAATTTCTTTCATCACCACTATTTGAACCTCCAGTCTTCTCTCTACAAAACTCTTCTCACTTCGTCACTCAATTTTTTACTGATTATCGGCCACTACAAAGTTATGATTTCTTATTCTTAATTGATTTCTGTGACGAATATTCAATTGATCACCATCAATCGATCCACCAACCTCTACTCTATAAAACCTATCTTACCCTGGTTCTTGATAATTCGTCTAACGTCGGCTGAGAAAGTGAACTGTATCTTGGGTATTAACAAAATATAAACTTTGGGTGGGAAAGTGGTATTTTGAAACTTTTTGAGTGAAAAAAATAAGTAAGGAAAACCTTGGGTGGGAAAAAGTCGTTTACTCTGATTATTAATTATCTGGAAGCAAGAATTTTCATAAGACCGCCACCTCCCTTAATTTCCTCCATCAATTTGCAACACTTTCTACTTTCTTTGTCCCCAAATTAACAGAGGAATTAAATTAATTAATGACCGGGAAATGCTTTATTTGAAAATTATTCATCTCTAAACTCAGGGATTAACATTGAGACTGTCAACTGCTAGAAATTTGTAAAAAAATTAAGTGCAAATGCAACACACGTAAGTGCTTATTCTGAAGGAGTTTATTAATTATAATGATCTCACCTTTCTTCAAAAAGATGAGCTTACAAAGAGGTGGTGCTGATAAGCACTTATAATTTACTTATTCAGAAGTTTATTTATGAGTCTAATGCATATAAATTAACTTAGACATGGAAGCAGAGAAAGTGCTTAATTTAATCGCCACAATCCACAAAATCATAGTTCACAATAAGGTGGCCTTGAGCTTTTCCTGCACCATTGGTGTCGAGTTGTGTAAATACGCCTTCGTCCAAATCTAGCCCTCCATTGCTGCATTGATCAATAATTCTCACTGTTGCCTGTGTTCCTGTCCCAGTGTTTGTCACCTGCAAAACACATGAAATGCATTTTATTTATCAGTAAAACTATCTTCTGCTAAAAGTTGAAAGTAATGTTCGCATTAGAGAATGATTAAATTACCCTTAAGCACTTCCCACACGCAGCCTGGCCGGTAGGTCCAGCCGGTCCACAGAAGGCGGTCCAGCCATACTTTTTGCGCCATTCCAAGGGCTTGCTGGCATCCCAGGTTGAGCAGAAAGCACTCACGGCCATCAAGTCATAGTTATTTTGTGCAGGGTTGTAAAAATGGTAAGTAGCTCTCACATTGGAAGCACTTTGAGCATAAGCACTTGCCACCAGAACACACAGTGAAAAAATCACACACAAGCTAAACTTCTCCATTGTGTATAAATTTTGTTTGCATAAACTGGTTCACAGGCTGCTTGAATTTATAGGGAAAAGGGGCTGTATTTTGATTTACCAAATGAACCTTATGTTTGAAAAGTCTAATGATAAATGAGATCATTTTTTAATTTTCTGGTAGAGCTTGACTATTCCAAATTCGTATGTTGATTAATTTCTTGGTAGATGGAGCTTGAACTTGACTAGTATGCAGTTAGATTATGTTAATCTGGCAGGATATTTCTAGAGAACTAAGGACATTCTTGGCTTTACATAGGGAGATGTCCCGTGAAACAGGCAAATAATTGAGGCCCAGAAGGTGCAATTATTTAGACATCGAAGTAGCACAGTCAATATGGGCAACTATCATGTTCTCTCCAGCTCTGGTACGACTTGTGGTGAGGTGCACAAGTCTTAGCTTAAAGTTTTATCAAACCAAAGAGCAAGAAAAACTAGAGCTGGTCAAAGACTGGGCCCAGGCGAGCCTAGGCCCGTTTGAGACCAGTTGCTCATTCTCAGACCCATGAGCAATTTTAGGACCTGGACCGGTCTTAGAACTAGTCTTATGAACCTGCAAAATTTCATTTTTCCTCTTATCTTTTTTTATATTTTAGGGGCGAAATAAAATTATATAAGGGGGTTTACGTAATTTACGGGTAGAGTAATAATTTCATGGACAGCAGCCCATGGTTATAAATGCAAATTTTTTAAAAAAAATTTTAGCCCTCACAATTTCTGTCTATTTTAAAATTAACATTTAAAACCAAAGGGGTGATTTTGTAACAGTAAAACTTGTTTTTAACACTGTTTTTGAAAATAGGAGAAGAAAAAAACTAATAAAACTTGTTTTTACACCAGTTTTGTAAAATAGGAGAAGAAAAAACTAAGTTACAGATTTTTATAACCTAAAATGTGTTAGTAGATAAGTCTTTGAAGAAGTATAACTTAAACTTGTTTTTAACCCTGTTTTGTAAAATAGGAGAAGAAAAAACTATGTATCAGATTTTTAGAACCTAAAATTTGTCTAGTAGATAAGTCTTTGAAGAAGTAGAAGAACAATTTATAGTTTCTAATAAATGTTTTTAAGATAAGATATTGAAAAGTTGTTTGTTCAGTAATATTTAGTAACTACACTAGAAACAGTATCTATCTACATATTTCTACCGCATGATCGAGATACTAGAAATGAGGTTGAGCTTCCTGAAATTTACAGTATATTTCTTCCCCAGAAATATCAAACACCTGTTCACATACACTAATATGCTAGTCCAAGAAACAGTATTCCGAAAGTTTGGTGATGAATCCTGATTGTAACATGTTGCGCCAACATATATAATAATTATAGCTGATCAGAATCAAACTTTAAATCTGAGGCTGGATGCCAGGTTTTTCATGAAAAAATGTACTAAACAAGTTGAATGGTTGAACTCCATTGCAACAAGAAATACAGGATATGTTCACCTACACTAAAATGCAGAAAGAAAATAAACAGGTCTGGTCTAAAATATCACAAATTGAAAGGTTTTCATTTTTTCGCATGTTCATAAGAACAATCTACTGATCAATCTGACAGTCATACTCATACCTCCTTTTCTGGATTGTATACAACTCATTGCAACTGATAATTAGCTGAATTAAAAAAATCATCAGAAATATTCATTTCAGAAAGATATATGCAGTAGTGATCCACATACGTATTATGAGAACACAGATTAAATGCATGCACCTGATACAATCTGCTTCTAAATTCAGTACAAGGCCAAAGGAAAAATAAGTTTACAGCAAAAATGAACTGAATTTTTTTGGTTGCATTGCCTCTATTTTTTGAAGCATTAGAGTTTTTATGTTTGAAGAAAAATTATTAAAATTTACTACGATGGGCAAACAGTCAAATCCAACCACAGAATTGACCCCATTCTCACTGCCAAAAAAAAAAAAAAATTATTACCACATCAGCTAATGGAAAATTCTGTAAGCACGAGCGTTCATGATAAAAACCAAACTAATTCAGCTGTACTACCTCATTTCCGAGAAGAACTGATTAGTAAAAAGTGAGTTGTGTTACAATACCCTTGAGATCCAATCTTGACCTAGTAGATGTTAATAACCACACAAACGGTGCTAAGCGAGCAGTGACTAAGGAGTATTCTCGTGGAACCCTCATATTTTAATCAACACCTCCCAATCAGATAAGGAATACAGAAAATGTCAGGCCATCTTACAGCTTCCACGTTTGAAAGCACACAAACAATGAGAAATTGTATATTGAACAACGCATCAAGATGTTAACATATTTCATTAACAATCCTTGATATCCAGAAATGGCAGATTCTAAAGACAACCCACACGAGTCCATTAAGTATTCGACCAAAAAGACTTTTTTTGTTCATTTTCCTTAACTTTTACTGATCTTTTATTTACATACAAAGATGGTGAAAGCAACCTATCATACAAAATTTATTTTAAAAAAACACGTGTTGAGTTAGAAAACTGTTCCTGCTCTTCTACACAAAACGAAACATAATGTACCTGAGTAATCTTTAGCTGCATGAAAATGAAGTGAATCCTTAATTCAACATAAAAAAAACAATAAAGCTAACATAAATTATTCCCATCCCAGCTGAATTTGAGGGAGCTCCTCCCCTGTTTCCCATATATTTTTCTGATATCCCTTCCTCTCTTTTGCCTCCCTTTTAATTCTCTTTTCCTCCTAATAAATTCTTCCTTATCCCATCCCTTACTGCCTCTGTCCACCAATAACTGATTCTTAACACCTCATCCACCGGAATCTTCTTTTTACAACTCAAAGTCCCCTACTGCTCCCTTGGATTTCTTATTGTATACCACATATCTGATGGTCTCATCACAAAACATTCATCCAGCGTAAAAGAACTACAGATCCAACACTTGGTAAATCAAAATAGTTTAAATTAGCGACTACCACAAAAAAAAAAAAAAAAAAAAAAAAAAAGGGTTCTATTTGAACACAGTTCAAGAGTTAAACCTGTTTTATTTACACATGCCTCTGAAATCCAGGGGAGGCATCCAGGATCGATTTTGCGCTGATATACATCTAATAACCGGAACTTCTTCTTGAAATTTTGTTACATACCTCTTAACAAAATTGCTCTGCCAAGACATAAGTAACTGCATGGACATATATATTTCTTTGATCAATCCTTGAGAGCAGAACTGAATAACCAAACACCTCGGGGCAAGCCTCTTCTCTATGCTGAATGTGCAAACTATTGGCATTTGGAAATATCTCGCGACAGCCAACCCATTTTCTTCACAGGAGTCCATAGCGCTTGTAATCTTCTCCTCAGATATTTTCATACAATATGGAAAACCTTCTAAAAGCAGCGAGAGTCTCATCTCGGACCAACCCCACCTCCATAAACCTCTAACTTAGATTCCAAACTGATTCCTCAATGGCTTATACTCCAACTGCCTTACAAAACATAGTTTGGGTGGGATTAAATCCCATTTCCTTAACCTCATTGACAACCTTGCAAATTAGAATGTTTGGAACATGCTGCGCTTGGCATATTAGTCACCAAATAAGAAATTCGAGATTGAGGTACACCAATATCTTCAAAAGAGCTATATTTGGACCAAATTTGTTACTCCTAAATCCAGTAAAAGTCCCCGTCCCTTGCGCTTTCAAAAATGTGACAATTTTTTCGTCATGAATTACAACATTCTTGAGGAAATTATAATTGGGGTAAGATGATTCTTTAAACTCATACATAACATGTTGGACTCTTTGCTATGATATTGCTAGTTCACCACTTGAAACCCCTATAGAACGGAAAAACTCAATCTTGGGCGAAAGTGTCTTTCAGGCAATTGAAATGATTCGTGGGCATCCTCTCACAACTTAGAGATCGGATTTGGAGAACCATGGTCGCTGAGAAACCTAAGGACTGAGTCCGCTCTTTCAGTGTTCTTCAATTGAAGATACTTAGAAGCAGAAACAGCAGATTTTAAAGACAACCCACATGAGTTTATCAAGTATGAAACTGTAAAAGACTCTTCCTGTTCACTTGTTAGTTTTGAACGATATCTTCTCTACATGGAAAGATGATGAAAAAAACCTAAGAGGAAAATCTTATTTGAGAAAACCTAGTTGAGTAGTTGTGAGATTCAGAGCAAAATCCCTCTCAGCAATTACTTTTCTTGCTGTTCTACAAAGAAAACGAAACATAATGAACTTAACTTACTCAACGTTAAACTGCATTCCGGAAACTTCTTCATTTAAATGCCAATGCCAAGACCTACGAAGGCTGAAGCTGAATATAGAGCCTTCAACGTTCAATTCTGAGCCGCCATGTTTTGTATTGAATGACCTGTGGGGTATGCCATTTTATCAACGTTAGAATGACAGGCTCACCCTTAAGAGGATTTATATCCGACAAGACGTTCAAAGTATAGATTGTGTATGACATGTAGTATATGTTGTTTCTTTGAGAACATTTTTGGAGCTAATACATTCACATTTTCGCAAGTCCTGGTCTGTTTTTTATGTTTTGGGTAATAACCCCATTTATTGCATTTACATGTTTGAATCTTAATTGTTTTAAATAAAAATAGCTAAAAAATATATACTGTTAAAAAATATACGAAATATTGAAAATATGCTTAATTTATAAATAAAGCAAAAAAAAATTAAATTGGATTGAAAATTTTCTTTGCTGAAAAATGATTAACTCAAGCATTGCTCTATATTGTTTGAGTGGTGTATAATAATACTGTATTAATTTGGGTAAAAGTAAACGACTTTTTCCCACCCAAATAATGGTTTAATGACACTTTCTTACCTATAAACTTTTAAATATCACTTTATTATCCAAATTTATATTCCGTTTTCGATTCTAATATCGTTGTGACCTCACACTACCATTGTCTTCTTAATCATCACTCACCAAAACCACTCAAACCCTAATTCCGCTGACCCCACCAATCATCGATAATCGAGTGATTAGGGTTTGCCCAACCACCCCTCCTAAGTCAAATTCTAATCAATCTCAACCA